GTTCTGTTCAACGTCTGTACGCGTACTGCTTCGGCCTTCATAAACCAGGAAAGCACAATCTTGAACTGGAGGGTGGGCACCGAACGTACCACAAGGGCTCCACAAGACGAACTTTCACGAAACGACGAGGAGTGTGCACAGCAAGCTAACATCACTACACCATCGCCGCACGACGACTGGCCACTCAGGTCCAAACAACACGACAAATCCACAATTCCAGCGATACACCGCGCTGGAATGAATTGCTGCGAGTGTGACCTGTTTCCTTTCTCATCCAGGAATCCACTTGCTTTGCCGAACGCCACTGCATTGTTTCAGGCTGGGGATCGATCCGAGGGCTCGCCACGCCGCTGCGGAGGATGCGGAAAGGACGCAAGAAGACGGTGACGGCAACAAATACTTACCTGCCCTGGTCGTCAGGTCACTGAATGTCCTTCCGCGCGAGCGAAACCGGCTGCAAGGCATGAAAAGCCTACTGCCACTCAATACCCAGAGACGACCCTGACCAGAAGGCCAAGGCCGCCCCGTGGAGGAGGCCAACAAAGAGAAAACCAGGAGCTAACAAATCTGCACACACACACACACACACACACACACACACACACACACACACACACACACACACACACACACACACACACACACACACACACACACACACAAACAAACCTCTTGGTTGCATGTGGTTGCATGTATACAGTTAAGTGCATGATGTGTGCTCGTGTACCCTCCCTGCCATCGACACCCGGACATTTCAAACCTAATTTCAACTGAACCATAACCCACTTCGCAAAGCAACCGAGACGGGACACCGTGTGTGCCTAGCTGGCCTGCTAGGGGTCAGATGGCGATCGCTAGTGATGGATGCTGTAATGATAGGTATTATGTACCTCTTTGCGGCTCGTGGTCAGCTGACGAAAGCCCAGGTGGCAGTGACGAAGAAGAAATGGTATTCTGAGTCGCAAAGAATTCTCTCCGGTTTGGTAGTATGGCTTGTAACCTGAACACCAGCAAACATTGAGGATGTAAGAGAAACTGTGAGAAGCTAAGACTGGGAAAGCCGTATAGAGTAATGTAACAAAATGTATGCTGATCCAATGTTGCTGCAGCAAGTACACAAATCTGTCTCTAGTACAAGATGGCAGTCAAGAATACCCATCCGGCCTCCGGCCCTTCCGAGTTATGACTAACTGTCCACCAATGTAACCAGATCTTATACAGTCAGCGAGTGCGACAAAATGGCACAAAACTGACAAGGAGTACTGAGACATTCGGCGACCTGACACCTAGCTCCAACACTTCTCCAAGGCGCAAACCAACAACCTTCCAACTTGGAAGGCTCAGGTTCGGAAAGGTCCAAGAGGGGAAGGAAAGCGCAACGAAGAAGAGCACGAGCTACGCCCCACGGCAACAAAGAATGCCGAAAGTTACTGGATGATGACAAAACTAGTAAGACTATTGGACATACCGGCCTTACTACAACTCGACGACGCAAAGCAACAGACCACCCAACTTGGAAGGCTCAAGTTTACACAGTTACAGTCAGTTTTGTGCCATTTTGTCGCCATTTTGTCGCACTCGCTGGCTGTATAAGATCTGGTTACGTTGGTGGACAGTTAGTCATAACTCGTAACATTTTGTCCTTTTCCTTTTTCACCATGATTTAATTGGCTCACCATCCGAGTTTAGCATTATTGCATTTATATTATTCACTGATTTGAGGGAAGGACACAAACGGGAAAAGTCTGAAGAAAAATTGACTGTCACCACCAGGATTCGAACCAGGGAGCTTCGCTTGAGGCCAGTGATGCACTAACCACTGAGCTAAGGTGTAGCCGTCATCCTAGCAGAGACCGTTCAACATTTTCTTCAGACTTTGTAACTCACACTTCCTGTGAATCCACACAGGCGGGTGGGACGCAGCCCTCACTGTAACCCACACACTTCACGTACAAACTAGCACGCGGGGAGCCCCAAGTACTCGTATTAACTATTATTTACGCTTTGCATGTGAGTCAGTCAGACTGGCTGTTTTTGCATCTGCAGGAACTCTGCCACCACCGCCAAGGATCAATGTGCAGACACCACAACAATGGAAAGCATAGTAGAGAGAAAGTCACCAGGTGAGAGGTCCAACCTAGCTGTGCACAGTGCGCTGTGATGCTCGTCAGAGCCGCTGGAGGCAGATTTCCCCCGCCATACCATAACAGTTAGCCTTCTTCAAACGTTGTTTACGATATACAGCCAACTTCGCTAATAACGACTGCGAATATAACGACGATTCGCGAATAACGACAGAATTTCCATGCCCAGAGCAAAGCCCCATCTAACTGTAATACATATAATGAGACGTCGGGTATGAGGACACTTCGCGAATAAGGACACTTTTCTGATGCCCCGCCGAGTGTCGTTATTTGCAAAGTTGACTGTAGTGGGGATGCATGCCCTCCTCAGCAGTAAACATTATGTTGGTGGCCACAAAGTTAGTCGGGTGATGACCTGACCAACCCGACCGGTTCCGGCAGTCTTGACTGTATCATCTCACCTGTAACAGTGACCTCCATAACTCCACTAGCACCCACTGGACCATAGAGAGCTAGGTTGCGCAGTGTGTGGACTGAAGAGAAAACGATGCCCTCATTCAGTTTATAGACACGACCCTGATGGCCCAGTACCACAATATTATCCTCAGTGTGTACCTGAGCAAGGGGCAATCATAGTCATGAAAACCAACCACAAAACACAACACAATCGCGACCATCACAGAGGATGGATACACCCTTGAAAACATGCGTGAGCGCACACGTACACATGCACATGGACCCGTGCAGGCAAGTATCATGTTACTTGATGCAAGCAAACGCGTGTACGAGTCAGTATATACAAACACGCAACTTGCGGCATACGTTCAACCCCTGTGCTTGTCTTAAACAGCCTACAGTCCCAACGGGTATCATATCCAACCTTCAATACAAGCGGGGCTTCTCGACTCTGAAATAGCTCATCTGTCGTTTTCAGCTTGAGCGAGAATACTTCGCCAGGAGCAGGGTGCAGTGTTAACATGGATATGCTCTTGTTTGGCACGGATTTCCCAGCCCTGTCCTGCTGGCAAACTGAAGGCCAAGTGTTCCTGAAGCGGCCATCCCAGTAGTTCACCATGCCCGCCCATGGCGTGAGCACAATACGATATCCAGGTAGAAATGGTGTGACGGTCTGATGGAGCCGACGGTACATAAAGTTGATCCTGTGCAACGTACAGTCAGTGCTTATGTTCAATGGATATCTACAGAGGCACAAGCATAGATCAAGAGCAGTTTGAAGGTGACTTGGATAGACCAAAACAGTGTCACATTGGTATTTAGGTGTTGATGTGTTTCAAGTCACAAAGAAGTGAAACTGCCATTTTCAAACAGAAAACAAATCACTTACTCACACCAGTAAAGTGCATTGGATGTCGGTTGGATGTGAATTGAATATGAATTGGATGTGGATTGTATGTGAATTGAATATGAATCGGACGTGGATTGAGTGTGGATAGGATGTGAGTTGAATATGAATTGGATGTGGATTGAATGTGAATTGGATGTGCATTGGATATGGATTGGATGTAGAATTTTATGACAGCGCAGAAACATATCCTGGGATCATTCTATTTGAAAAGCCTGTTGACATTCACCAGACCACTCCATACGGAGCAATGAAAGCCAGCGAGGCGCTCACCATGGCCCTGCGTGTGATGCGCTCACGATGGCCTTGCATGTGATCATCAGGAGCATAAGCACCACCACACTACAGTACAAACGGAGACGGGACAGAAAACTGCTGGATTTTCCCAGCGTTTCATCCCACATGCGGGGCAGAAGCTTACCGAGTCTGAGCTGAATTTCAAATGTCAGCTAGAAACAGTGTCGTATTCTTTGGCATGACACATGTCCTTGGATATGCTTCGGTGTTCAAGATTTTAGCACGCATGTGGTTCTTTGCATTTTTTACAAGAATCACTAGCACCGAAAAGGGTGAAATCACCCCCCATCCGATCAATTTTGGATATCACAAGTGCTGCGTTGCTTGGTGTACAATTCGTGAAGGCAGTTTTAACAGCTCTATCCAGTTCTCTTGACAGGCTCATACGTCATGTCCACGTTCTGGTAACTACAAGCCAGGCTATAGTGTACAAGTCCAAAATCCAGGCAAAGTGCTATGCCCAAAGGATATTTAAAAAAGAAGCTTTAGAGCATGGGCGAGAAGGCTCCGAATAGATCAGGAGGTAGATGGATGGATGACTAGGAAGATAGAGGCAGCCGAGTGATACATGGCTGGGTGGGTGTGTAATGCCCGGGGGGGGGGGGGGGGGGGGCACACTCAGAGTGAGTTATGGCAGCTGTTGATGGGGAGACGTATAGGAAGCTAGAGAAGGGGGGGGGGTAAATGGAAAAAGAGGGAATGAGAGAGGGAGGGAGAGAAAGAGAGAAAGAAAGTAAGTTACATTTATAAAGACAGGTAAGTCTAACAAATGAGGACTGAGACCTCTACAACAGGGTTTTTACGCCTGAAAGCAGATGCATGATTTAACAAGCAGGTTGTCAGTCTAGATTTTATGCGCAGATGGAGAAAGAGAGAGAGAGAGAGAGAGAGAGAGAGAGAGACGAGAGGCAGAGATATATCGGCATGCACGTGACCCATAGATTCACACGTGTGCACATACACATATCCATTGGACGCCCATCGCCGGAGGCGATGATAGCGATGCTACAGCAGAAGCCATAGCAGCTTGTGCTGGGACTGCACCATTCAACAGCTTGCAAGGCAGAAGAATTGACCGCCACTATTCGGCCTGGTCTACACCACACAGCTATGAAGTGGCTTTTTCTGGCCAGTGAATCCCTACTTTTTGGTCTTTTTCATTTTTTCACGCACACACATCACACCACATACTCTGGCATGTACCAACAGCCAGTGCATACACATATACATACATACACACATACAAAGATTACACAGCAATGAAGCAAACAAATCTCTTTCCGCTGTTACTCGGAGGTTGGTGTGAAAACACTCATCAGACAGCATACTGTACATACACACATATGTGGACACCTAAATGCACATACAGATGCATACGTGCACGCGTACACCACAAGAAACTTACGGGTTACTGAGAATGCTATTTGTTATTGTGGTGGCCGAACAGACTCTCCGATAGTACCAGGTTTGATCACCAATTGGTTTGAAGCATGCTGTGTCAGCCTTAAAGAACATGATCCATGCAGGATAAGTGCCTAGTGCAGGTGCCTTGTTGAAGTTGTACAGGATCTGTGTAGCTACATAGACCCGCTGTACACGGCTGTAGCAGCGTGGCGCCTGTAACAAGTTAGCATTGGGCCTGTTGCAGATCTCCTTAGCTCTTTCCTCAAGTAACCGCATGCTCTGGTTAGCCGTCTGCTCTTTCTGGCCCTGATCCTGCCAGCATGCCTGTGTTGGATAAGGCAAACCTGACTCTTTCCGGCTGGGGCAAACTTCCTGGTAGCTGGAATTCGAGATGTAACTCTCGCGCACGTTATTGAACTCTGTTTGAAAAGGGCAGGCAAGAAACACCGTGTGTCAGTGATGGCTGATTAGTACTCATTGCACAAAGAGTTGGTGGACAGTGATGGCTGATTAGTACTCATTGCACAAAGAGTTGGTGAACAAGCCGTTGATTCTTTATCCACTGACGATGTTGTTCAGAACAACGAAACGTCCGGAGATGTAGCGTAAATATTTCTATCTTTATTTATCAATCTGCGGACAGCATGCTGTATCGTTCTTTTTGAACTCATCAGCGCAGCACAGAGGAAATGAGGCCGAACCTGATAGCAATGGAAATAAAGATTTCCAATCAGGCCCGAACGTACCTTTATTTATCAAATATACCACTCTTTGGTCTAGAAAGAATACTTTTTTGATACTCATTGCACACTTGGAGCGGGGGCTAAGGTCGCGGAGCAAAATTCCGCCATTCCGCCCATTCTGTGCGGAATTTGTCCGCGGTTTCCATGGAAATCGCGGAATGGCGGACAATGTGGCCAACTGAATGTGCGCGTGCAGGCCAACACTTCAGTCTGCGATTCAGCTAGGGTTCTAGCCAAAGGGGGCGGGGGGTAGGGGGCGCAGCACCCCCCTACTCTGTTTGTGCGCCCCCCTGTGAAAAATTGGCGCCCCCTACTCATTTTCCGATTTTTGTGTTTTTCATGCATAGATGGTTCATAAAGGCACATTTGTCTGGGATGAAGTCAGGGATTCGCCCCATATACGTTGCATTTGGCGTTGCAAGACAATATTGGAAAGTGGAAAAATGGGATATAGGGTAACTGTTTGCCATGCCCACCCCCCTACTGTTTTGACCTGGCTAGAACCCTGGATTCAGCTGTACCTGATTTCGCCTGTTTTGGTGTGACCGCTGCCTAAGGGTATTCATGTTGACAGGATTACCCTTTTAACTTAACAGAGTTAAAGTATGTTGGTCCATATTCAACTATACTCGCCTATACTCGATCATTTGCTCTTTACTTGGGCTTGCTGGTGTACTGACAGGATCAAGAGAGTTCTATAGCAGGGAGTATTATTTTATAGCACTCCCGCCTTCTCTAATACCGGTACGTAAGGCCAAGTAAAAAAAAAAGCTAGATGATCGTCCCCGTCCGCCCCAGTTTTTGTCAGCGCCCCAAGAAATATTTTATTTTTTAAATCGTGAGTTTTTGCCGAAATCGTTGGTTTTTTACCGATCGCGGATGCAGGAAACATGTGCACGCTTTGTTTAATACTTTCTTTACTATATGGACCACATACTACTAGTATATCACAACGTCAGTATCGATCTGCTGAAGAAAGAAAAAGAAAAAAAGAAAAAAAAAGAAAAAAAGAGAAAAAAAACCTTGATGTTGTTGTGCACACTGTGTGCATGAGAGGGTAAAAAGTAAAAAAATAAAAATAAAATCCTCCCGCCCTCCCCGATTTTTCCAAAAAAAAGGACGATCATCTAGTAATTTTTTTACTCGGCCTAATATGCCCGGGTCAGGTATAGGGTATCTACAACGATCAGATCAGGAAAAGTTTTTACAGTGGAACCATCTGTAGTGGTTCTACAAACGCACCAAAGACATCTTGTAACTAGCTTCGTTACTACAAATCACAAGTGTGTGGGAATACAGAGAACGACAGAGAGATCAAAGGAAAAGCCAGGCAGGCAAGTACAGCTAAAGTGCGTACGGTACAACTGGCATGTCGCACAGCGCGGCCGGATGAATGCATACATGTTACATAAAAGGATACAATGACAAACAGTGGGATGTGCATCCACTACACCATCTGAAAAATTTATAATCGCTAGTCATAATGACTTTACATGAAATGATGTTTAGGTTCGAGAGCATCACTATGTAGTTCGAGTGAGTGTCACAGTTCTACTTACCGGCCGTGTGATTGCCAGCAAACGGTAAAAACATGTTCCTCTCCCATTCAGCTGGTGCGTACGGCATACAATAGCACTGGTCCACAAACCTTCCATACTTGTCAGCAATGATCAGGTTCAGGTATGGCTCGAAATAGCCAAAACAGCGATGCATGCTTGCCATGAATACGGAGCTAACCGAGATCAATGCCTTGCCAGGCGGGTTGTTCTTCAGCAGGAGGGTCTAAGCACCATTATGAGCACCAGCAGAAAACAAGCATATGGCCAGTTGTGCATGGTGTATAGTGATTCAACACACAACCGTGAGGACAATGACACTGGATAGTGGTCCTATCATTGAGTGCATGCATTGTAATCACTGAGTCATTCCATCCCATATCGACTTCAAAAGGCCCAATACAACACAAATCCCCAGTCTCGGAGTTTGCAAAGACATACACGCATGCCAAGATACCGACAAGCAAAGTCATCATACTCAACACCTTTACTCAAAGCAAAAGAAATTATTTTTTGCGCACACGCAAAATATGCTAACGAAGAAGGCGCATGCTCTGTTCCCAACAAACTCTCACGCGCTCATTGTTCTCCGAAGTCCACTGTTCCTGATGTCAGTTCTTGCTTTGTCCGCATTGGCAGTGGAGTTCTTTCTGAACCTCAATCTCAAGGTTTACCATAGCTCACGTAAGCAGTCGGCTCCCGGGCCCAGGCGTTCCAGTCGCAGGCGCGCCTCGTCGTCCCCGTATGCCGACACTCCAAATCGAGCCCCTGCGGACCATGCGGCCGATCATTCCGGCAATGCCCATGCGGATCGTGCCGGGCAATGCCCGTGCGGATCGTTCCGGCAATGCCCATGCGAATCGTTCCGGCAATGCCCGTGCGGAGCAGGACGATATCCCGTTCGCCGTTCCCCAGCCGGCCAGCTTATTCACAACTGGCCTGAATCCATGTTCCGTTACGGCGGCCGTGTCGACGGCCCTGCACCCCTGGCTCGAGTCGAGCGCCTTGAAGAGCGAATTTCAGCTCGCCAGGATCCGGACAGCCATGATCAGGCGACGGTCCCCTCACTCAGTGGCAGATGTGGTCCAAACCGCGTCCAACACTGTCACCCATCACCCGCCGCAGGTCGACTCCGGCCCCATGGACATTTCCCTCATGCAACCCGCGCTGCCTCCGATCGCAGCGGCCATGGCGAACACTCGTAAGTCCAGCTCTATTGTTCCCACGGTCCCGCGTAAGTTGCTTGACAAAATCACACGCGGCGAATATATTGAGCTGGAGGATCTCCTCCCGGAGAATGTGGGCGCAGGGTCCGAGCCCTTGGAGCTCAGTACCGCCAACGGAGAGGGCCGGCGTGTGTCCCTCAATTTATGTGTGACTAAGAAGCGCTCCGTTGTCGACTTCACTGCCTGGCTGGAAGCCTACATAATCTACATGGCCTGCGCACTGAAATATGTGCCATTCCGAGCACTGGAGCTGGTGACGTACCAGCACATTATCTGTACTGCCAACCAGCAGTTTGCGACCCCAGCTGTACTGGGGTATGACCGTGCCTTCCGTGCAGCGGTGGCAACAACCTCGGCTCGTTGGGACGCAATCGACCAAAGCCTCTGGAGCCTGCACCTGATCCGGGCACCCCGACCATCATGTCCGCGCTGCACAACGCACCACAGCCGTGACCGTTGCCCACAGTATTTGGCAGGGCCACATGCTCCAGCTGGCACCAACACCAGCTGTCCTACGCAGCCATTTCTGGCCGGGGCGGACAGCACCCGCCAAATCTGCCTCAACTTCAACCGTGGCCGCCCATGCCAACACCAGCCCTGTGAACGCTTGCACGTCTGCTTAACCTGCGGCGACCTAGGTCATCCCGCCGCCCGCTGCACCAACGCCGGTCGCCGGGGACCCCGCCAGACGGACAAGCCCGTCGCAGCGCAGTAGTCTCCCCGCGCCTCTGTACATAGCCCGCCTAATGACTCTTTTGCCTCGTATTTCTAATCGTGTCCTCTCTGACTTTATCCTTAATGGCTTGCAACACGGGTTCCCCATTGGCAACTCTGGTGCTTCTGTATCTATCATTTCTGGCAACCTCCCAACTGTCATTAAACATGCTCAGTTTGTACAACAACAAATTGCTGACCGGGTCCGACGTGACGAATCGGCCGGTCCTTTCTCTGTCCAGCCTTTCCACCCATTTGTATGCTCTCCGCTCGGTGTAGTGCCCAAGAACAACGGGAAATTCCGCCTCATTCACCACCTGTCTTACCCTGATCGTATGTCTGTCAATGATGGAATAAGCAAGGATTCGTTCTCTCTACATTATGTCACAGTAGACGATGCCATTGAGCTTCTGCAACGTCAAGGTACCGGTGCCTTGATGGCGAAGCTCGACTTACGCAATGCATTTCGACTGGTCCCTGTTGCACCCACTGCATACCATTCGTTGGGTTTCCAGTGGCAGGGCCAATTCTACTATGACAAAGTACTGCCGTTCGGGCTGAGGTCCGCACTCTACTTGTTTAACTGCATTGCGGACGCACTTTGCCAGGTAAGCTGTGAATTGTTCCAGGTTCCCCACCCCCTGCACCTTCTGGACGACTTCTGGCTCTGTGGCCCTGAAAACTCAACGCTATGTGCGCAGCGTCTGAACGTAGTCCTATCCGTATTCCGCTACCTGGGAGTTCCCATTGCCGACGAAAAGACAGTCGGCTCAACCTCCTGTCTCACCTTCCTGGGCATCGAACTGGACTCCGTCCAGAAAGTGGCTCGTCTCCCACAGGACAAGGTTGACGACATCCGCTCCAGACTATTGGCCTTTCGCCAACGCCAATCCTGCCGTCTACGGGAGCTTGAGCAGCTGTTGGGCAAGCTGAACTTTGCCAGCCGCGTCATCACGCCGGGCCGTACATTCATGCGCCGACTGTATGATGCCACGCGTAACGTTTACAAGCCCTACCACCGCATCCGTCTCTCTCCAGAATGTCATCTGGACCTGCTTTGGTGGTCTCACCTACTCGATGGCTGGAACGGCAAGTCATTCTTCCTCGATCTCCAGGAGACGCTGGCCAGCGACATCCTGATAGAAACTGACGCATCTGGCGCCATCGGGCATGGCGCAGTTTACGGCACGCATTGGTTCGCTGACACCTGGTCACCACAACACACTCCGCTCTGCATTACGTTCAAGGAGCTGTATCCCATCTGCATTGCATGTGCTACGTGGGGCCACCAGTGGTGTCGCAAGCGTATCCGCTTCCATACCGACAATGAAGCTGTCGCCGCTGTTCTCAAGTCTGGCACCAGTCGCTGCCCTAATGTGATGTCACTCCTACGGCAGCTCTTCTTCATCTGCGCCAAGGGTAACTTCATGGTCACCGCCCGTCACATACCTGGAACTACCAACATCCTTGCTGACGCTCTCTCCAGGCAAGATTTCAAGCGATTCCATTCGTGCCACCCTACCGCCGCTCACATGCCCACTCCCGTGCGTGCTCTTCCGTCCATTCCTGGGGAGACTTCGGCCGTGCCTTGCACTGCCGAGTGACGGAAGTCCACATGCAAACTGCCATGAAAGCTGGCAGCACCGGTCCTGGGTAAGCGCTGATCAGACAGACTGAGCCCACTTAACCCGACTGCTGCATGGACGATAAGTGCTGCGAATAGTGATCATGCGCCCTGGCCTGAGTAGCTCGCTTGGCTAATTGAAAGTCTGCCGACCTGGGCCACATTATGTTGCTAAGGCATGCACAACCCCAGTCACAGCGCGCAAGTTGGTTGAGTTTGGCCGTCAGGAGGCCAGCGCAAGGTATCCGGGGCGCGGGTCTGATTCCAGCGAGGGGCAATGTGGTACCCCGCAGCGCAAGGGTAGCGTGATACCCTAAGCCAGCGTGCGTGCTGCATGAGTAGCGTGATACTCGCTGAGCGCTTTTGCTGTTGCCTAGCAACGCGTTTCTGTCTTTCCTGGGCCCCCAACGCATGTTGGGTGGCCCTGCGCATGACTGCACGTTGTCATAGCAACCTTGGAAACCTCAAGCCGGTTACCAACAAGCTAGGAATCAGACCAAGCCGCCGAATGCCCCCGCCGGCCCCCGGCGCTTCATTGCAATTGAATTAATATTTGTCCAGAATAGTGAGCTAGGACAGATCAAGAGGCGTGGGTGGGAGGGAGAAATTGCAAAACAGTTGGATGCACGCAGCAGCACAGCTAGCAAGAGAAAGAGCCGTGGATGGGTTTGTTCCTGTTTTTGATGGCTGTGGCCATCCGTTGGCCCAGCGGTCTCGTGTGAGTACGGTGTTTGTTCGTGCTGCCAGCTCGCGCCCGGCATTTGTTTGCGCTGGCAGCTCGGGCCCGGTGCGCGAGTGAAACCGAACCGTGACAAAAGGCTTTCGCTCTTTAGTGCTAAGGTAGACTCCCTCTAATTCGAATACGGTATAATTCGAACATTCCGTGTAATTCGAACTTTTTCGTCGTACCGATCTTCTGCAAGTCACTTCAAGTCAAAATCGAATGCATAATTCGAAGTACGAAAAGTGCGCCGGTTGGATAATTCGAACCCAGTCTTCGTACAGAAGAGCTGTTTACAGTACATTGGCTATGTCCTTTGAACGCTTATTTCGAAGTGAGATTGAGTTGCAATCCTTGTAATTCGAAGTTCATTCTTTTCTCCTTCTCTAGCCAAGAGTAGCTCAAAAATCGATCGATGGTCCGCTGCAGGATCGACTATAGCGTTCAAGAAACCCACCTTCTCTCGAAATTTGATTCAAGCCCGTGCGAGGCAAATTGCAAAGGTTTGATTGAAGACGACTTCTTCCTGGTGGCTGACTCTCTTCGCGGATCTCGATGGCCTTTCTTACCGCGCCAGCTCGTGCGCGGAGATGTTGGCGCACAACAACACTATTGTCGTAAATATTGTCTATGCCTTTGCTCCACTTCCGTTCTTCAGAACGACGTGCTGCTGTCCAACGGCCTTTCATGACGCCGATTAGGCAGCGCAGTTCTTTTCCGTTGAAATTGTTTCAGGAAAGCTGCAGTGACTGACAACTTCTTCACTAGAAGATGTCAAAATGGTTTTGTGTCGATCCAGTGTTTTGATGATCCGTTGTACATGACACGTACCTATGTTTCATTGATGCAAATAAAAATGTGCAAAAAATATTCAGCAAGCGATTTCAAGCATTTTGACATACATATCATGTGCATGGGGCTGCATTTGGATAATAAGAAGTTCTGGATAATTCGAAGTCAGGGCCTGGCAATTTGAGGTTCGAATTAAAGGGAGTCTACATGGTTGAACAAGCGGTCACCTGCTCCTGGGTGCCCAAATCACCTGGTCACCACGCCAGCAGGCGACAACTTTCACACCAAGGTTCAACTCGAGTTCAACTCGAGTGACAGGACTGCACCCAAAAAAGGTCAAACAGGCTAGTAAGTTGTACCCTGCAGGCACGGTGACCAGGTGACTGGCGTACGCAGGAGCACGTGACCGCTTGTTCAACCATGTTCGATTGGGAATAAAGGAGGAATGCTGCATCGCAGCGTTTTCGGACCAAAACCAGTCAACTCAGCGTCCAAAAGAGTACAACATATGGGCCAATCGCGGTCATCCATGCTTTTATAAGAACGAAATGGCGCTTTTAGTGACATTTTGCATACAAATCCCCATCTAGTAGGGCGCAGTCACCCAGTTTCGGTGGAAGTGCGCGAGTTCGATTGGGATTCAAGTAGGAAGGGAGCGTCTCAGCTTCCTCGGACCACGACCATTCGACTCAGCACCCCGAAGACTACAACTGGTGAAATTTTTATTTTTGCCTTAACTTCCCCTTTAAAGCCAGGTGTTCTTTAGAGCCAGGTCTCATGCATTCGTGGCATATCGGATTGTGTATGTAGTATACATACAAGTGCATGATTGTATTTCCATGTACTCGTATCGACAGGTGTGGAGCATAGAATACTTTCGTGTAGGCAAAGCAAGCCTCACTCGACTTCTCAAGTGCATGCAGTGCTAGCGCATCCTGCACTGTCACTTCTGTTGACTGCATGCACTTGCTTCAGAGTGCACTTCAACCCTGTTTCCCTGCCAGCCAAGATGGCACTTTTGGCTAGTTTTCGGTCACTGTGTGCAGGTCCAGTGTGGCACGTTGTACACTGAAAGTCGGTCGCTGGTCGCGCAAGGCAGGTGGTCGCTGTGTCCGGGGCAGATGCTGTGTAGAACTGTCGGTGCATGGAAAAACGGTGGTTAAAAGCAGGCGGTCGCTAAAACCAGAGGTCGCTAAAACCAGAGGTCGCTAAAACCAGAGGTTGCTAAAACCAGAGGTCGCTAAAACCAGAGGTCGCTAAAACCAGAGGTCGCTAAAACCAGAGGTCGCTAAAAGCAGAGGTCGCTAAAACCAGAGGTCGCTAAAACCAGAGGTTGCTAAAACCAGAGGTTGCTAAAACCAGAGGTCGCTAAAACCAGAGGTCGCTAAAACCAGAGGTCGCTAAAACCAGAGGTCGCTAAAACCAGAGGTCGCTAAAAGCAGAGGTCGCTAAAAGCAGAGGTGGCTAAAACCAGAGAGGCAGAGGTTGCTTACACCGGGTTTTACTGTATATAGAAACTTGCATGGCAAAAATGACATCGTCCAAGCATAACGGGACATACACGGCAGACTGCTGTAACACATACTCCAGACATACATTGATCGCAAACACTCCAGACATGCGTTGATCGCAAAACTCCAGACATACATTTATTGCAAATACTCCAGACATACCTTTATTGCTCTTTCACGAACTGTTGGGTCTGTAGGAAATTGTATTGCACATCGAGAAGTCTTCATGCTAGTCCTTCCGGGAGAATGAACAATCTCCTGGAGAGTAGCTGCGGATGACATTTCATCAGCATACACAGCAGATCCCAAAGAAGTGGCCCTGTTTCCAGTAATCAGGAACTCCTCGGCCTTCAACACACAGAGTAGTGGCAACATGGCAGCAAGAAGAATACATTTGGACTAAGAGTACAATAGCGTATGCTACGAGCACCTCAGCCCCTAGACACTGTGGTCATGCTTTAAATGGAGGTGAGGCAGATGAGCGAATCCAATCTGTTGGTCAAACAACTTTTACACGGAGAAAGGCACCTCAAATTGGCCAACATGTCAGCCCCTGAAGCAGTATGGCTTTGTTTGCCACAAAAGTTCTTTCCGCTGTGCTCTTTACCTGCGATTTGGTTGGGCGTCCCAACGCCTGCCGTCCACCTGCGTCTGCAGAAATGGATTCAACATAAGCCATGCTCTGTCCTGTTAACCTAGCATGCACCTCTAGACACGAGCAACTGATTCGACAAGCCAACAAAGCACGGGTTCGGGAGTTAGAGCATGCATCTCATCTTTGCCGCTTGTGTTTGGTGAGTCTGGAGGATGTGGCATCGAGGCAGCACATATTTGCCTCGAACATCTAGGCAACATGATTGCTGAGAAGCAGAATGACAAGTACTCCACAGCTATGTCCTTGATTTACTCCCTGGTGTCCTTCACATTGGTGAGCTCATGGAGCATCAGCCTACATGGCCACCGCGCCTCTGTGAATCTCTGTTGAGTGGATGCTGCCAGTGATGTTACCGTGACAAATTTTAATTCTAATTTCACAAGGCACACATGCTCCACTGCAGCCACTTGACAACATGGAAAACCCAAACGATCATCAATGCACATGGTTATAGAGGTTACCGTATTTTTCGGAGTATAGTGTGCCCATTAGATGTGCTTTTTTAGGCCCTAAATCGCAGGTGCGCACTATGCGCCGAATATGAAATGCATGTACTTCAATGCAGATTGAAGTGCGCACCTCCAATGAAGATTGGGGGTGCGCGTTATACAAAGGTGCGCACTATACTCCGAAAATACGGTATGCAAATGATTTAACCGCGTATTTTATAAGGAGCGGTTAGTGTACCAGCGGATTTTCTAATGGGCGGCAAGTGTACAGCATGAGTCAGCGGATTTTCTAATTGGCGCTATGTATGCAGAGAGATAGTCACTAGTGCGAGAGCAGCGACTTCGCCAAAGCATGTCAACTGATGATGTAATCGCATAACCTCCATAGACGTGGATGCTGTGCTGTGCTGTCTGCACTCGCACAGTGCATTTGAAACATGCTGGGGGGGGGGGGGGGGGGGACAAGGCACATGGTGCACTGTGTGCGTACTTTACCTTTGTGGCGTCCATGATGGAGTTCTGTTCAAGACGAATAGCTCCTCCTGTGGAGGCAATGTTGTTTGAGATGGTTAAGTTACCGCTGACATTGGCTCTGGCGTCACTCAATGCTAAGGCCGTTAATTTGTTGCCACTGATCACACTAAGCCAGGAAAGCACACGTAAAACGCAAGAAAAAGGAAGCAAGTCTTACGGAATTTTCCATTTGGATTGAAACACCTTGGTGCTATGTTCAGAAGGAAGTCTAGAATTGCCTAAAGATTCACAAGGTACAACGAGAGCCAGAAGTTCCAACATAGTCAAGAAATACGTCTATTCCTTCTCCTGACTAACTATCCCTGTACAAACAGACAAAGTGTCCGACATCACGTCGGTCAAATCATACACCAAAAGACGGCAGGACTCAATTTTCTCCATGGATTTTTTGTAGACAGTTCAAACTGAAGTACAAATCAAATGAAGCTTGAAATACTCGCAGCTTTCCGCTTTCAGACTCAAAATTAAAGCAGATACAAAACGGGTTCCATGTACATGTACGACCCTCTAGTGATTTTGATTAAAGGGGAAGTGCATCGATTTTTCGAGTATGGTCCAGAAGAAACACAATTTGATATCGGTTCGAATGGCATATCTCTCGCTTTCATACGATAAGCCAAACTTGCCAAATCGCCAATTGTATACTCACGTTGCCATAGCGACCAGCGCAGTGATGACGTACGAAAGGCTTAGCTCCACCACAGAGAAGATCGATCACTGCAGAATTTGGTCATTTTCAATCGGTTTATTGTATTCACGAAGTGAAAGAAGGGCTGTGTTCAATGCTGTTAGTGCAGTGAACTGTTTGTTAGTAGTCCTCTCGGTTGTGTACTGGGACGTGACACCGACAGGAGAAAGCTGGAGTGCGGAGACACCAGCAGACAAGCGAAAATAGTGACGAACAAAATGCTGAAATCTTGGTTGGGACAAATCAGACGTTCAGCATTTCCCCCAACCAAGGACCATGCCGTTTGCTCTTTCCACCTTCTGAAGATGAATGAGATGCTTCCTGGCGACTCTCCTATCTCTCGTAACATCTTCTGAAGCCAGGTGAGACGACGGATGGTGGAGATTGACGAATGAAATAATGTCGTAGGTTTGAAAGTTTGCTGAAAATGTCTCAGGAGAGATGGCGAATTCCAAGCATCTTGTCCTGGAGGAAACCATTTCCTAGGCACAGTCAGCCTAGGGAAATGCATGAGAAGGGCGATAAATAGTTCACGGCACTAACAGCATTGAACACAGCACTTCTTTCACATCGTAAATACAATAAGACAATTGAAAAATGACCAATTTATGCAGTGATCGACCTTCTCTGTGGAGGAGCTAAGCCTTTCATACGTCATCACTGCTCTGGTTGCTATGGCAACGTGAGCATACAATTGGCGATTTGGCAAGTTTGGCTTATCGTATGGAAGTGAGAGATATGCCATTCGAACCGATATCAAATTGTCTTTCTTCTGGACCCTACTAGAAAAATTGATGCACTTCCCCTTTAAGCTGTGTTGGCGGTACCACCAACAAAGCATCAGGATAGTGAATGTGCCACACCGTACTCTTCGGTTTGGCACGCCAACACAATGTTGATACCGTCCACAAGCATAGGCACTAGGAGCTGATGTGCACGGCATTCCAAGGTTCTATGGTGAGGTGAGTCAGCTGCCGGTGGCAAAAAGGACGGAATTTTGAGATTTGACTGCAGATATCTGTCTGCAAGGTATCCCTTCCCAAATGCGTGAAAACCCATCAGTGACCCATTGTCACTGTGTTTCTTGTTTGCACTTACTTGCTACCGCTGAAGACAATTGTGGTACGTACAATATGGATGGCCCCAAAGCCTACGTTGTCCAATACGGAGCAGTTCTCTAAGTGCACGATGCTGACTTTCCTCAGGCTCTGTGGCGTTCCTCTGGAGCGTGCAGGGTCATACTCTGCCACTGCAATGATGGCACCGCCGGGTGTCGGAAAGCCAAACACTCCAGCTTGGTTTTCAATGAATCGTGAATTTCTAATGTGCACTTGGTTGCCAAGCTTCGCGCTTTGACCTGCAAAGTAGATGCCAACACCACCGCCTTCATTTCTGCCTACATTGCTATCAAATACTGTATCATCAATTTCCAGTATATTGTTAGCTGCAGAAGGGGAAAAGTGACTAAGCACTGCTCCAGACTGCATACCCTCGTTGGAAATGAATCTGCACTTCCGAATACTGATGGTGTTGTCTTTGCTGTAAGCCGAGCCGAAGCTGATTCCTACTGGACTGGTTCTGGGTGAACGATTGAAGTCAAATGTACAATCCAATATGCTCAGATGATAACGCTGTGCTTCTGATAAAACAATATAAAGGGCGATTCCAGTGGCTGTGTACGGACCAGTGCGGTTGAGGTTCTGATCCATAAGTCCTGGATTGCCACCGATGGCAACAAACTGACAGAGGAAAAATAATGCAGCTTGTGTCTGTATTTTACCATCCTTACTTTGGGCCTGGTCTAGGGGACTCCACACAGTTTCTAACCAAGTTGATGCCACAGTGCTGTCATCAAGCTCCTCCACATGCTCTTCGCATCCATCTGAAATGTGCATTTGAACTGCAGCTACGATCTGCTGCTCACTGTCAAGGTGGCCACCGAGAAGTGCCAGAACCAAGCGACCATCAAACAAACATGCTCGGAACTTGAGCACAGAAGAGCACGATGTGTTGACTAGGACTTGCTGGAGACTACGTTGTGGGAAGTGCACATTGTCAAAGGAGATTCCAATGGAGGACTGGATGTCCACTAGCGCACGCAGGGCGTTATCTGGACCAGCATCACGAAATGAGAGTGTTATATGCTTGAATACTATCAAGGAGCTGTTGAAAATGTAGACAAAGCTTCTATTGGATGTCTTACTATAATATGATGGATCACGCTCGATGTCTTGATAGGAAGCTGCGATATGCGTTCTGAAGCAACCTCGGCTCTGGTCTCCCTCAATGACTACACGCAGAGAGGCACGATTCATCACCGAGATGAGGGCGGGGTCTGATGAGTTTAACGCTGTTGTCCTGGCTTCAACAGCACAGTTGGTCTCATTGCTTGACATGAGTCGAATGATGATATCATGGCTCAGGCTGGCACCACCGCTGCTGCTGCTGCTGCTACTCCGCAGTATGTATACAGTTTCCAGTGCATCTTCAAGGCTCTGGCAGCGTCGGCGGTGATGCTCAGAAGTACCACATGGTACACTGGCTGTGGTACTGTCATTGTTGGCTGCTACATAGAAGCTGTCCCCAACTTCTAGCAGAACTGGAGCAGGTTCAACATGCCACGGGACAGAGATTGAAAAGACAAACAGAGATAACAGCAGATGTGAGCAAAGCTGCATTTTCAGCACAATCACCTTAGCTGTATGTAAGGCCAGGAAAAAAACCCATCACACTCCTTTAGACTGAGTTTCCAAAGCTTGTTTCCCACTGTCAAACTGCCTAGCCTGAAGGATTTATAGCAACTAAAATCCTGTAGTGTAGGCTGCCATACTATCTATTTCTTGTTTGTTTTTGTCGAACCGAATATCAGCAGGTGTGTTTGCCCGTACATTCGACTCTCTTTCCATTGAATGACCATGCACATCTGGCTATCACTTGCACAGTTTTAGCAGATTAGCAAACTGCTCATTCACCCATGGCAACTGCAGTGTAGTAACGTCACACACATATAACGATACGTACTTCTACGTAGAGGACAAGGGTTCTGCAGCCATAGCTAACTCTGCGAGGATATATTAATTCAATTTAATTGGCATAACTCATGGTATTCATCACGTCATGAGCTACAGTACGGCTCAATGAAATCCAACCAAATAGGTTAATGTTGCCCTGGGCACTGTGCGGCCCCCAGTCTGTAAACACCAGGCTATGGAGTCTACAAGCGAAGGGTCGCGGCAAACTTATTCATGAGTTGCACAACTGTACCTGCACCCAACAAGTGTGCATGTAATGAGCTAATTACTACTGTCCACCGGGACTTTGAAAACCTAGTCAAGGTCATACATTTTGAAAGTTTGAATTAAAAAAGCTCGAAGCCCGACTATGAAATTGGAAGTGGGTTTCGGGGGCGATACACAAAGCATTGGGTGATGTAAGACTTGACCTGGCAGGAAATTGACTTCCTTCATGGTTCACTTGTCTGAACACAAATCATGACAGTCATGGCTAGGAAAAGGTTTGCCAGAAGCACATTTTGGAAAATTCAAGGTTTAGAGATCTTTGGTTAATATCAAGTTCACGCCTCTTTACTCGGACGGTGTATGATAATAACTCTCGAATCCCCATCTAGATTCAACGGATTGGACAGATCTGAATGTTCCATTTGTCAGGACTAGGTCAGGGTTCAACGGGTTTGAATCTGAGCAATCCACCTAATGATCTTGTTAGGATAGCTCGGATTCTTCCGGTTCAAATTTCTACTCGTGGAAAAGTGGATACCCTGAGAGAGCTTCGTAACATGACTCTCCACCTCAAGCCAATGAACTGTGGACCATGGTGAACGTGCTTGTGCTTGCGCTGTGGTGTCATTGACACTGCATTGAAACACATGTGCGATGACAATCCTGGAGCAAAGCCTTGGTGCTCGATATGTTTGTGGGCGTACGTGAAATCAGACCAATCCAATGCTAATCCCGATTCGACATTAAGTACATTCCCGCAGTCTCAACTCACATTCTGATAAGAAAACTCAAGTGCTTCTGGCCTGCACGCTGCCTGGATGAGGTTGGCTGGGAGGAGGGAAGATCGCAGGGGTTCTTTCATGCATTTTTTTTACATCTGAGGCTTGTTCGGAGCGAGGATGAGCACCGGCAAACAAACCGAAATAAACAAACCGAAATGAAAGAGGATAGCCAAGTCAAGCCTTCCTAACTTTGCCATACTCCGTGTTGTGGAACGCAGTTGTACATGTGTGCTGGTGGCATTCGCAATAATGCGCAGCAAAACGGATACATCTACCATCAGTAATGACGTTGTTTGCCGGTTTAGACTAAGACTAAAAGTTGGGGAACATTTCGGTAGAGCAGCGCACGCCTATGCTCGCCAGGGATACTACCATGGTTGACTAGCTTACCTTCCACGACAGTCTAGTCCCTTCTGCAGATCTACATGCCGTCTCCCGTCGAGTCGTCCAAAGCTAATGACAAGTACCAGACTTTGGGATTGCTTTGCCGCGCAGGTTTCAAACACCTGCCATCATCCCAGGCAGAGAGCAGAACTGCAAGAATCCCCTTGCTCATAGAGTCTTCCGTGTGCTGCAAATATTTTATGGAGCGGCAGGAAGCATGCCATGACGCACCAATCATTACTACAGTAGTTTAGTCTGGACGTCTGAACTAACTACCGGTATGTTACTTCCGTGTTCCGTTACTCAACACACACACATACACACACACACACACACACACACACACATACGCGCGCGCGCGTGCATACACACACACACACACACACACACACACACATTATAGAGAGGTTTTGCAGAGCGATCGTTCGCGCGAATTTTCGTTTGACGTCACGAAAAGCGAAACTTCGTGCGAACGTTCGCAGTTTTGAACGCGAAAGTTGCAGGAAACGCGAAACAAACTTTCGCAGTAATTTTCGCTCTTTGTGGACCGCTGGTCAGCCTGGTGCACGGTGGTGAGCGACCCTCAATCTTCATGTTTGTGCTGGATCTCTACTCTTGGCTTGGTCCGCGAGTGCTAGCTTTCCGATACTTTTGGCAGCCCTTGTTTCATCTCCAGAACCATTACATCTCCGATCTCCTGCTTGCTCGTCTTCTCACTGCTCAGAATCGGTTACATCCATCAATGATGCCTTTTTGAATCTCAGGTGTTGATGCGCAAGATTACGGCACAAGCCAACCCGGCCCGTTTGTCTGTGGGTCTCCGGCCATGGACAACGTAGTCAAAGAGCTCTCGTCTCAGGCCGTGACTCAGGGTACCCGGTGCGCGTGCCGCCACTCGCAACAAACAAATAATCGGATGGAGAACACTTCTCAACAACAAGCGAGTGCACACGAAATTTTCTTGGAGCGAGAAACATGCAAACGTTCGCAGTAATTTTCGCTCTTTGTGGACTGTTCGTGCGCGGTGAGCCACCCTCAATCCTCATGTTTGTGCTTGATCTCTACTCTTGCCGGGCTTGGTCCGCGGGTGCTAGCTTTCCTATACTTGTGGCAGCCCGTGTTGCTTCATCTCCGGAACCATCCCCGATCTCCTTCCTGCTCGTCTTCTCACTGCTCAGAGTCGGTTACATCAACGATGCCTTTTTGAATTTCAGGTGTTGATGCGCCAGATTACGGCACAAGCCAACCCGTTTGTCTGTGAGTCTCTGGCCATGGACAAGCCACAAGGTAGTCAAAGAGCTCTCGTCTCAGGCCATGACTCAGGGTGCCGTCACTCGCAACAACAAAATAATCCGATGAAGACCACTTCTCAAACAAGCGAGTGCACGCGAAAATTCCTGGGAGCGAAAAACATGCAAAACACAAATTTCGCGCGAACGTTCGCAATAGTTTTCGCAACCCGGAACGCGAAAATCATTGCGAACGTTCGCTCTGCAAAACCTCTCTAAGGGCCTGGTCAGACTGCGGCAAAATCGAAATAATCCTAGGATTATAATCCGAATCTCCATAGTAACTTGCCGCCAGAGCGGCAAAAGCGAGAGTTGACGCTCCAAAAAAAAAGCAAGAACGGACCACGCTTTTCCGCTCCAAACAGGATTTGACGCTGATACGCCATTGACGCTGATAATCACTGATTTTTTCATCTCGATATCGAGGAGCTAATTGGCCACGGAGAACAACAAAACTCATAAGGATGGTTGCAAGGATTGCACTGAAGGTGTTGGCGATCCCCAAGGTGAAGGAATTTGACGTTGTTCGTGGAGATTACCACTTGACGCTCGAAATGAAGTTTGAATTTTCACTCTCCCAACATGTGTAGTGTGATCGCGATTCAAATTCTGGACGCTGTTCTGTTTTCGTCAGGCAACCAAAATTTGCCGCAGTCTGACCAGGCCCTTATCATTGCACAACGACGTATTCATGGCGCGGCGATAAAAATAATTTTAAATGAGGGAACATCATCACACGCTTGGTGCTATGACCGTGATCGACTGTTTGTTGTGTCTGTTCGCCAGACGCCGGCCCTACATGTAGCAAGTGCGAAGTGGTCGTGGCGTAAGTGGTTTCCGACTTTCCGCGTTCGCACATGTAGCTGGTTACTTGGGACAGGTAGATCTACAGAGTCAGTCATGTACATCTACTATAGTATTACCAGGGAGTCGTATAGACCCTATACGACTCCCTGGTATTACGTCTAGATTCTACAATGATTGTATCCGGTAGACCATACCATATACCGGTAAGCATAATCATTTTCACATGTTCACCTCTGGATATCGTGCGTGTCCTGGGCTGGTGTCGGCTTGCAGCTAGCTAGCGGTGTCTTCGAGTTGCACTTGCAGCCTCGATACGTAGGTAGATCTACGTAAATGTACAATGTAGATCATTATTTTGCTCTGTGACTCCCTGGTTCAAATACGACTGACTTCGTCCGAAGATACTACAATTGAATTCTTCTTGGAGCGAGTGGGATATTCGCGGCCTTGTCTCCTCTTCTCCATCACCAAGCAGGACCAGATACAGTAATCAGACGACAGCGCGTACTCCGAGTACGGCTCTCATGCCGTAAGTTGCGAGTTGAGTCAGGTCTACCTACAACCCTAGCCTACAGTTCTCCGCGATGGAGCACACGGACGAAAGTCCGTTGCTGTTAGAGGAGATTCGTGCCGACTACCTCGGTCAGTTGCACACTGCGTTCGGCACTGCGGAGGACATTCGCGGACGCGTGCGAAGGAGGCGAGGAGAGCGACACGTGCGTGGCCACGACTCGGTACCTACCAGATCCCGCCTTGGTGGTTTGGCTTCCAAGCATGGAAACTCCAGCGTAGCTGTGGTATGTGACAACCTGTCTCTGCTACTTGTACAAGTCGAATGATTTTCAAGGCTCCTAAAATGGGACACGCTGCCCTTGGATGCCAACCAGAATATTATTGATATGGGCGATCGCGGCAATCTTCCTCATGTGGCGATGCTGTGCGATTGTAATGAATGTCACAAAATCAATGTTTCAAGGCATCAGGCAAGCATATAAGCCAACACGTGCGGGTTGTACTTTGCATTATCATGATTATGCTGACCTTTCATACAAACTTCCAGTCAACTTGCCCATCATGCTGGCGGCTCATACTGGGCATATAACCTCATACAAACCCCATACAAACCCCATATAGACCGCCACCATAGAAACAGGAAGAAGTAACTGTCAGTTTGTATAAAGGTCAGCATAAGTATAATACATCCCACTAGTACGCTTGTACGTGAAATATAAACCATCATACAAACCTCGGCTTCGCCTCAGTTTGTATGTCGGTTTATATTTCACGTACAAGCGTACTGTTGGGTTGTATTATATACATATTGACAATTATTTGTGCACGTCACTCAGTGCATGCTTTCATTTAGAGTGATTGTTTGGTGCAGAGTATACGAGTATAATCATGCACATTTCAAGCTGGGACTGCATGCCCTCATGGCTGCGCCGTTCTGACTTTTACCGGCCGGCTTTTCCTTTGTAAGCACTCTCAGGCGGGTAGCCATAGTAGCCTACTTTACCGCGGAAGTGGCAAAACACATATCTGCTGCTGTACAATCCTTCGTCGGGTTATTGTCGAATCACTAAAATTTAATGTCCTTTTCCTGATAGGCCAGCACTGCACAGCATGTAACTGTTGTGTCTGCAAGAGTATAGATGCCTCCCCCCCCCCCCCCCCCCCCCGTGTTGGACTGAACAAAGTCTGACCAAACAAAGAGTTCAACGCACTGCTCTACTGCACACAGATCAGGCTTTGAAGTGCCGGTGATTTTGTTTTGTCAGCAAAGCGATGTCACACAACTTTGCAAGCGCATTTCTGCATTTGCAAGGCTGATATGCAGTTGGGGAGTCGTGTGAACAACTCACGATCCTTACATACTTCAGTATGCCCGGAGTAGCATATTGCCACCCCCCCCCCCCCCCACACACAAACACACATACAGACACATCCGCACAATGTATCAAAACCAGGCAAGTAAGACCTGTGTATGTTTAGGTGAGGTTTAGTGTGAAAACTTGTGTGTTCCCTTTGCTCGCACCGTAACTGCAGGTTCTCAGTGGCTTATCAGGCGTTGGCAAGTCCAGCATCACAGACACATTTTCCAGGCAGGCTCAAGGACGGGGTCATTATGCGCGAGGTGTGCTGAGAATCAATGCGGCCAGTGCCTGTACTCTTCAGTCTTCAATCCGGGAATTGATCGTAAGATTGGTGCAGGGTATTATATCTTGTTTGTCGTTTAATTGATGTGATCATGTTAAGTCCTCTTACGACAAATGTGTTTGATACAGTGGAGCTTCAATACAATGACTCTCCAGCATGTAGTGAAAAACCCCTCCAGGTACAGTGTATTCATATTCCAGATAGATCATTTTTGCGGGATCTTTCATCCCAGGCTCAATATAATAATACTGTTCGGGTCATTGTTGGTGCTATTACACTTACTAGTACTCAGTACTGTTGAGTTACTGAAGTACACAGTGAAACCTCGTTAGGAAGAACACTGATAAGACAAATGTTTGTTTAAGAAGAACTAGTATTCGTAACTCCATTGGATAAATCACTGTGTATTCACTGGGTATACCATACGGATAAGAAGAACTCCCGTTATTGCAAACAAATATCATTGGTCTCTTGGTGTTCGTCCTAAAGAGGTTTGACTCTAAGTATTTGTTCTGCCTTGTGTAGTACGCTCTGCCCTTGTTAGGTATTGAGCACTATTTGCAGCAAGGACCTCAGACACTTTGTCTAAGTACTTGTAACCACATAAAATAGTCAATAAAGCAATGAGTACAAACTCGGATAATAAGCAAACCTGGTGTGCACCTGTGCACAATTAGCAGTGCGGCACTGTTACGACAGACTTTGGTAAAACAGACCTTCTGCACTAATCATCCTGCTCAGGTGGTCTCCAGAAGGAACAGCCCCTCATAGCACATGTATACATACATACCAGACCATCTGGTAAAAGGAGAGCAATCGCTCTTGCGCGCCTTCGCTCTCCTTATTTTCATTTTGGGCGCACTTTTCGTCGCGCTCCTTGAGAATTTCGAGCGCGTCCGCATCACTATGAAGTCCATTCTGCAAACACTCAAATATCTCGTAACTCGGCTTTCCCTGAACGGAATTGAGTAATGGAAAGGTCTATTCGCATTAGAAAGTTCTCAGCTGTCGGCTCCCACAAATCTGAAGTCGATCCGAGGTGGAGTCGCGGCACTCGCGAGGTATTTTACGTCCCGTTGCAAATTTTCACTTCCGCACTAGGGTGGCAATCATAATTTTGACATAAAGGATTTCCCTCTGTTGCGTGACAGTCCGCGGATATCCCCGGATCCGGGCATGCATACTATACCTGTGTGACGTCAGGCACAGGTCTTTAGCGGTTAGCTACAAAAGAAACGGAGTGCTAGCACTCTACGATGAATACTACAAAAAAAAACATGGATCTTAGCGAATTGTCTCAATTTTCCGTTGCTCGTGTCTTCCCAGCTCCCTAGGCTATAGTGCCATTGCAGTAACACTCCAGCTGGTGAAAATCCCACTGGTGTGTTCCTCTTGCCAATAGCTTTCCAGAATGCTTGAGATTCATTGTTGAAATTGATGAAGGGAAACTAAAGTTGTGGTCCGAACAGCTTCCATTTGTAGTGCGTACGGCGATTTTCCAGAACGAATTTGGCAGCTATTGGGTATTGAATCCGATTGGAGTATGGCAAGATGTTCAAAAAACCCCGTATTGTGCTCGCCTTGGATAGATAAGGCGAGCAATTTGGGGGGGGGGGGGGGGGACTGCTCTCCCACCACTCTCCTTGAGAGGATAGGGAGAGTGATTGTTCACTCTCCTGGATTTTTCTTACACGAAGGTCTGCATACATGTGTTGTGTCTGGAGTAAATCTACCTCTATAGTGGCTGTCAAGATTCAACTAGTCAAGCTGTGGACAATTCTACCAATACCTTAATTGCATACATACGTTGTGCTCTATGTACTTGCATGTAACACCAGCCACAATAGTCATAGCAGTCATCTAAAAAAAGTATGAGTCATTTGACATAGTGGATGCATAGATGAGTCGTGTGCGAGGCTCGTGAGACAAACCTGGCCTACAAGTACCCCAAGTACTCAGTAATTCTCCCCATCATTTCCCTGACAGGATTTGTTGTACCAGGGCTGCGTTGAGTTAGCAATGTCACTGTACATTGCACCTGCAACCAAGCCTAGCTGTATTACGGTAATTTTCTCTGATATGTTTTCAGATCTCTGCTGGTGCATCACATCTTCTGCGTAGCACTTCTGACATAGCAAGTGACAGGCACTGGTCTCAAGTTCTGGCTGCACTGCACCCTACTGCTGGTACGCTGTTCATAGTGGACAATGTGCAAGATGAGAACAGTATGAGGCTGTCTGGTAAGGCTGGCTTGAGTATATTGGTGCTTGTATTGGTGTGTGCATGTGTGTGTGTGTGTGTGTTTGTGTGTGTGTGTGTGTGTGTGTGTGTGTGCATGCGTGTGTGTATTGGTGTATGCGTGTGTGTGCGTGCTCGCGCACGTGCGCGTGTGTGGTTTCGAGTGTGCTAGCGTGCGTGCATGCGTGTGCTGTCAACTTCCATGATATTATAGTATCAGATTTGGCCTCATTGCTCCGTGTTTCGGGTATTATTCCACAAGGGAAGCGACACGTTGTTTGCAGATTGAAGTAATTGTTCCTGGTCAAAGAGTGCTTTTTGGGCACTAGGAGCGGAGGGAACTTCCGTTGTCAATCCCTGCGCTGCAATTGCATAGGAATGTATTGGGGAGAGGGGGGGGGGGGGGGGAGCGGGAAATGCAGCACCAGTGAGGGCAGGTGCAAAAACCACACATGGAGCAAGCAAGCAGAAAACAGGTAACATGGCAAACCTGCAAAAACCAGTAACTTGTACCTTTTTTAACATAATAATCGCTTCAAGTACAGTACAGGCTAAGAGTGCAGTGTAATGGTGGAGGTGACTCAACATTTTCTTCAATGGCCGAGAGCTCTGTCGCACCATGTAATAACACTTCAAGTACCTTAAAAAATCTCACCAGAGCACCCCTACCTCCGCCACCCTTCGAGTAGGTCCGGGTGGGGAGGGACGGAAGGGCGAGTCCTACTTGCCGCATTCGGTACTACAGTTGAACATCGATTATCCGCACATCGACTATCCGACCATTCGATTATCCGTAACAGTTTTTTTGGGCGCACGTGCCGTAGAGTACGCACTGTGCATGTAGTGAGCCATTCAAAAAATACGAAAATTTTGAAAAGTAAAAAAGTAAAAAAGGTCGTGCGGCTAGTAATAACCACTGAAAGTGTGTGAGTGACAGTTTTTTCTTATCCAGAACATTAGCCTTATCTGAACACCGCCTGACAGTTGTCTGCCCAGAGGTGGTCGGATAATCGATGTTCAACTGTACATGAAAAAGTACTCAACCTTCGATAACTGTGCGTGTGTCTCGTACACAGACCGAAGGTCATGAGCAGGAAGTCGTACAGACCCATCAAAACCGAGGGTTTGTGCGATCCCTGGTCAAGAGGGTGTGGACTGTTGCGTACGTTTCCGACCGGGTCGAGCAAGCGTCTGCAGTGCGGTACGGCATCACACTTCACAGAGTCATACGAGGATTTTCATTTCCCTGACAAGAAGTCAGGGAGGGGCGCATGGGAGAGACTGGGCACTCTGACGGGATTTTCCGGTACTGTAAGACATGGCTCCTCGTTGGAGCAACCAACTTCATGACTGTAAGACATGGTATTATAACGAGTCGCAAATTTAACGATTGTCCAAAATTCATAGGTTAATGAGAAGATATGCTAACGATCTTGCAGTATTCCGCCATATCCACACACGACATATATGAAGCCACACGGCCTAAACAGATCTCATTATAACGAAGAAAAGCGTTAGAGTTACTTCCTCGTTATATAAACATGTCTTATAGTATATGTTTTCATGATGACTCTTAGACAAGAGGTCGTCGACCTTCTTTTGAGGGAACGTTGATTATCGGTTTGGGCAATCTTCTGCTAAATGATAAAAACATGTCTTGCAGCACTTAGTAGGGAGTGATGAGGAGAGCAGTGCCTTGTTATAATACTTCAAAGTTGTTCACTCTTTGCCTCGCTGAGAACAAATTTTATCTTTTGCAATTTTGTTCTCAAAGTCCCGGGGAAAGTGCTCGTAACCATGGAACCTGCCTCCCACTTGATTGTGCCGGGATCAATTTTTTTAAGAACTGATGCTACTTGGCTCCTGGCTCCCAGCTTCCAGCTCACAGTATCTTTGCCTGGTACATGCATATGCACGGTGCACCAGATTTCCTCCTATAGCTTTCACCTCCTCACCTCAATCCCCATTTTATGTTCAGATCACCTATTTTCACACTAGTCACCGGATGAGCTTGTACGACATTAAACACTTTGCGAGCTCTTGATCTTGTATGGCTGTCCACGACAACACCATGCAACATGATAACTTGTTTCGCGTTTAGGTGTGTTGTTCGCTTTGAAAATTGTTTTTCTTGTTCTAATCACCGGTGGGTAATGCGGATCTTAAGCCAGCCATTGAATTATACGAAACTAAGGCTAAATTCAGGAATAGTGCTACAGTTAACATTCAGGTGCTGCTATAGCCTATAAGTGCAGTAGATGCTATAGCATATACGTGCAGTAGCCGCTATAGCCTATAAGTGCAGTAGCTGCTATAGAATGCTCTTGGTCCGAGGAAGCTGAGGCACTCCCTTCCTCCTTTATTCCCAATCGAACTTGCCACTTCCCCTGAAACTGGGTACTAGATGGGGATTTGTATGCAAAATGTCGATGAAAGCGCTATTTTGTTCTTATAAAAGCACTGATGAACGAGATTGGTCCAAATGTTGTAGTCTTTCGGACGCTTAGTCGACTGGTTTTGGTCCGAGAAGGCTGCAATGCAGCGTCCGGCCCTTATTCCCAATCGATCACGGTTGAGTAAGCAGTGACGTGCTGATGCGTACACCAGTCAGCTGATCACCGTGCCTGCAGGCTACAACTTCCACACCAAGGCTCAACTCGAGTGACAGGAACGCACACAAAATAGGCTGTAAGTTGTAGCCTGCAGGCATGGTGACCAGGTGACTGGTGTACGCATCAGCACATGACTTCTTAGTTCTTACTCAACCGTGTTCGATTGGGGAGAAGGGTCGAACGCTGCATGGCAGCCTTCTCGGGCCAAAACCAATTGACCCAGCGTAAGAATGAAATGGCGCTTTCAGTGACATTCTGCATACAAATTCCCATCTAGTAGGGCGCAGTCACCCAGTTTTGGTGGAGTGGAGAGTTCGATTGGGAATAAAGATTCGAAGGAAAGGAGCGTCTCAGCTTCCTCGGACCAAGACTATTCGACTCAGCACCCTGCAGACTACGAGTAGTGAAATTTTGATTCTAGACCATACTTCCCCTGCAAAGGGGAAGTGCACCCTAAAATCAAATTTTCAACAGTAATCTTCGGGGTGCTGAGTCGAATGGTCTTGGTCCGAAGAAGCTGAGACGCTCCCTTCCTCCTTTATTCCCAATCGAATTCGCCATTTCCACCGAAACTGGGCGACTGCGCCCTAGTAGATAGGGATTTATAGGGGTGAAACAATTATACCGAATACTCGAGTACTCGCTCGGTTTTTTCAAAAATAATCGTACTCGGAATAAATCAGAGTACTCGTTCATACATGGTACATGCATTTACCACAGAAATCTGCAGTTTCAGAGCAGCAGTCGGCAGATATTGACGTGCAGACTGTGTGGTGAACATTTGTTCACGAGTAGAGAGAGCCCAAATGACCCACCAACCACTATACCCGAGAAAAATGACTGCCACTCGGTTCAATCAGGGTTGTATCATGTGATTTTAAGGCCCTTGGTGTGCAATTTTTAGGAGATGAAGAATACTCGAATACTCGAATATTCGATCGGAGAAAATCAGAGTACTCGAACTCGGGATCTCAGTGCCAACTTTCACCCCTAGGGATTTATAATCAAAATATCATTAAAGCGCCATTTCGTTCTTATAAAAGCACGGATGACCGCGATTGGCCCATATGTTGTAGTCTTTTGGACGCTGTGTCGACTGGTTTTGGTCCAAAAAGGCTGCAATGCAGCATTCGGCCCCTATTCCTAATCGAACGTGATTGAGTAAGCGGTCACGAGCTCATGCGTACACCTGTCACCTGGTCTGAAGAAGCTGAGACGCTCCCTTCCTCTTTTATTCCCAATCTAACTCACCACTTCCACCGAAACTGGGTGACTGCGCCCTACTAGATAGGGATTTATATGCAAAATATCATTAAAAGCGCCATTTCGTTCTTATAAAAGCACGGATGACCGCAATTAGCCCATATGTTGTAGTCTTTTTGGACGCTGTGTCGACTGGTTTTGGTCCGACAAGGCTGCAATGCAGCATTCGGCCCCTGTTCCCAATCGCACGCTACAACTTACAGCCTATTTGGGCGCGTTCCTGTTACTCAAGTTGAACCCTTGAACCTTTGAGGCTTTAGTACCTTGATATTCACTGATGGTTATAACGAGAAAATTGATTCTGGAAGCAACAATAGCAATACACCTCAACTCCAAATAAGGTGTCAGGTCATTTCCCCCAGGATCTCATCCTTTACTACCGATTTTCAGAGCATAGGACCACCCGTAGTGCATTAGTTCTCCCTCGTGCCTCAATGCCTATCTACCTAAAATCTCCAATCTTATCTGGGTCCTGCATGCTTTGGTCTGCCTTCATGTTTGTTAAGTCTTGCACTGCTATCCATGTGTTTATCAACCAGCTCTCCCGCATAGACATAGTTAGCCCACGTGATAGTGTACAAGGCTTTCAAGCCTGATTTTTATCTTCGTATATTTATCTCTATCCTCCCTCTCTGCAAATTCTGTGCTGCCTTGTTTGGCTCACACCCTTCATCGCAACTGAATAATATTACCCATCTTTAGAGGTACCAGGAGGTGCCAGGAGATGTTGTCAATGTACAATACCAATATATATAATGTTGCATAGTGATATCTGCGCCATTCATTCTCTTTAGTATATAACTTTGGTTTAGTTTGGCTGAAAGCTGCTAGCTGCTTACCCGCCTATTATCAACTTCAGGGCTAGTACTTGTACAGAAACACGTGGGCGCCATCTTGGTTCACGTGACATGTGTCACACCATGCTGTGTACAGGGAATCTTGCCGTACTTCGCGTCGACTCTGGCCTGTTCAAATCCACGCAAGTGAGCCACAGTTCTCTCTAGCAGGCTGAGATTTTGCAGGCACCGAGTTCAGATGTGGGCAAAGGGATTCACCGAAGGATTTTTTGATTTTCGCAATTTAGACTTCAAATAACACCCTCAAACTCGGTAAACGTGTCCCACCTCTAGGATCGTTTTGGCGAAATTCGCTTCGGTGAAAGTATGGAGCATCTTCTACTGAAAATTTTGAGCCATCGATTGTCAAAATCGGCTGATGTGGAGCTCACTTGTGTCGTTTTGAAGGACGCCGCGCCACGCGACTTGCGCTGGTTCTTTCACAAACGGAAGACACCAGTCAGAACTGCAGACTGTGACAGTGCAGTGCGCACGGCAAGGAAAAGAAGGACTGGAGACGTGCATTTTCCATTCGTTGCACTGTGTCCTTTGCTTTTATTGTTCACTGATACCATGTTCGCAAAATCTTGAGCTAGAGAGAAGACTGACTTACAATCTTATTCATCTAGGCTTCAGCGTGATGCACGTATTCCAGACCATAGGAAATATTGGGAAAGGAACCGGGAACCACGAGAATAATTTTTCTGGAGCGAATCCAATTATTACCATGGTTCCTTGTTCTTGAACACCGCGCTCCACCACATCGTCAATGTTTCTGCGACGGGTAAGGATTTCAGGACTACTGTCGGTTTGTTCGACCTCGGGGCGATCTGATCTACGTCCAGCTGGCCATGATACTGAGCCGAACTGGCCACTAGTTCGCTTCTTTCTCGACTCGGGATAATCAAGCCGGTCAGAGTGCGATTTCCTACCCTGGATGCGATCCATGGTGCGGACTGAAAATAACTACTGAACACCTCCTTGTATAAGCACTGACATACAAGACCGGTGGTGGATACAAACTGACCACAGGAAACCCTAACAGCACCCGCTCTGTCAAAGAAAGTCGAAGGGAAGTAGTTCGAACTAGTTCAAGCACCACCAAAAAATAAAAACTACAAAATAGCACTTGCTCTTGCAGCTAGGTCAAAGATCTGTACTGGCAAGTACACTTTTGCGCAGTCGCGACCTCGCGGCGATGACGTAGCGTGATTCAAGATGGCCTCTGACGTGTTCCCGTTTTGTGATCCCAAATACCAGCCCTGAACTTTGGCAGGGAGGGCCTTATGGCTAACCTGAAGGGCACGAACAAGCCATAAGGCCCTCCCTGCCTTGCACTAACTATTTTAGAACGAGGTTACATGCATTATCTCAATTGCATTATGCGTGTGTACTCTTATATTGGGTAGTTGTGTAGTTTGTGTGCAGAGAGAATTGGTGAGGCAACTCCGCACCGCTGAGGATTACTAAAAAGGAGAATAAAAGCGAATGAAATGCTGTGCTCTTATTGCGAGCTTCGTTCTTATTCTTAGCTTGTGGAGCTATTTAGGGGCCTCAAGAGCCCCTTTTCGATACCTACCGGTATAATGACTTTGATCTTCGGTTTTATAGGGTTCCGCCAGCTGTTGAAAAAGGAAAATCGTACGGATGGCAGAGAACGGGAGGCAAAAACCGTACACGCTTCTGAAATGCGTAGCTTTTTTGTAGTACACCGTACATTTTATGCAGAGTTCATTATATGCACCGCACCATAATGCGTACAGGGAGTTGTACGCACCTGTCTAGAGTATGTTCAGCGGGCTTTAAACTAATCCAAGGCCCTCGACGCGTCATCAAAGAGTAGTAGAATTACGATTGATCGGGCTTTAAACTCTGATAAGGCCCTTGGCAGGAACGCCACTGATTGGTTGTCTCCTGGACAACGAGACAGACTTCATCAGTCTAGTAGATTTAAGAAGGCACTGAGGTGATAATAACAATAATATTTGAATCACAATGAACAGAACTAGCTGAATCAACACTGGAACAAAGTCTGTATCAGTTGTGCCACGAATGAATGATGGGGAACAAGTGAGGTCGATTCAGCACGATTGTTAAATTTTCTGTATCTTGTGTTTGTCGTTTGTTACTCTTTCTCTTCTCCATAGATTTCTCGTTGTCAGCAATGTGGAAAGTACTGCTGCCAAACGCCAATTTTCAACATCATTTGTTGATCATCAGTCAGTGCTCCAATCTTCCTGCTTGTCTGTCTAGACATATCAGCCGTCATATTGAAGTCCTGCCACTCACGGGTGTCCAGTCTGCCTGGATGTTGGCCAGACTCAATCGATCTCTGTGTGCTCACTGCGCACTGGTGTCCACTGGCCAGGAGCTGTGGTGTCAGCTCTACCAAACCTGCCGCTCCGGCTGCAACATGTTACAGGCCCAGTGGCAGTGCTGCACACATTGCTTGGCTGCACCGCTGCGAAACGCAGAGTCCATGGCATTTGCGACTCAAGTCCAGTCGGATCGATCACAGCGGCGCTGTTGCACGCATCGAGCAGCAGTGGAGAGGAGTGGAATGAACTGCAAGTGCATCTTTAGACTATTTTCTGAGCTGTTTGCCGAATCTGAAAACGCCAATGGAATGCCACTGCTTATTTCTTGCCTCGCATTGCCAGCATCTGATGAAGCCGCGTCAATACCAACACCAGTCAGTTCTCAAGTTGATGGTAGAAGTCAAAAGACTGGGAATTGCGAAACAAGCTCCGAACAGGACATTTGGCGGATGAGCTCGCAGCGGTTGTCGCAAGCTGCGAAGCAGCTACTATGCCTGTGTGCGTTCTTGAATCCCGATCGGATTTCTTCTACTTTGTTTTGTAGGGATGAGATATGTGCACCAATGCCCGGTGAGCTTCACAATGTCCTGTCAGGGAAATGTCAAAATCAAGCAAGCAGCGCAGGTTGTGCAGGGCGCAAGGAAACGCTAGATCTGCATGGTGCTTCCCATGTGCTTGCTGGACTCCTGTGCGAGCTGCGCTCATTATCGCTGGTTGGGTTTGTGAGCCCACTGAGACACAGCAGCAGGTCGCTTGGAGTCGCTCGACATGACGTGGCATATGAGTTTTGTCTTCATCGTGCCGTCCGTAAGTTGGTTCTGTCCGAGTTATATGGCAGCGCCCAGGCCGATGAGTATCTCCGTTGCTGTCTTAGCCTTCTCTGCTGGAACACTGCGTCATGTCAAAGTATCGTACATCTGGAAATCAACGTATTCCCTCACATTCTACAAGTCAACCCAACATCAGTGCTGCGTATGGCTCGGTACTGTGGTTATTACCTGGCTACACCCAGCCTGGATGCAACTGTTCTGCTTTCCCTGATGCCCTCGGAAGAATCACGGCTTTCCTGTGCACATGTTTTGAAGGAACTGCTAGGCCACCTTTGGCACCACAAGTTCATGTTGAAGTATTTAAGTGAAGATGTGGTCACTGACTTGACTCATCTCAAGGTGACAACTCCCAGTGCTGTGTCTGTTGATTTATTTGACAGTGAAAATGAAAAAAGAATGTTGAAGCTCATCGCTGAACGCAAGTGTGGGAGTAAAGAAGAAAAGTGGTGGACTGTGGCTATAGCCGTCTTTTGCACCCTGCCACGGGACATCGTGGTGGAGTTACTTGCCATTGCTCTACCTTACTTGATACAACTGAAAGTGAAGGAAAATGCTCACGATGGTTCTGAACACGCTACTAGCTGCTCTACCTATACCTATGCGTTTGCCTTCAGCACCGTGACACGTTTCCTGAGCAACTCTGTTGGCACTGACCCCGCATTGCCGGCTGCAGAACTAGTAGGCAATGACCTCCTGAAGTGGATAGAGGATTGCATGAAACTGATAGTGTTCAGTCGGTGCAAGGCTGAAGTCATCAGGCGGGCACTCCACAATGAGCGATTTGGCGAGCGTCTCACTCACCTGCTAAACGTGGTGTGCAGGACAAACTTTAATCTCTACAGTAGAGCTAGTGTCGATACTGGTGATGATATCGCGGTTGCTGATACTGGTGATGATACCGCGGTTGCTGATGCGTGGTCTGCTCATGGCTTTTGCAAGAAAATGCCAGCGGCAATGAAGAAGAGTGTGATCAAGGACCTACATCATGCCGACATCCAGCTGGTGAGATTAGTCACAGCGGTGGAAGAGATGTACGGGGGCTCTTACATAAGTGGCCAACTGTATGTACCTCTGCTGGCTATCGTCCTTTACTGGGTCGGCATGGGTGAAACACGCCATGCCATTCCTGCACTCAACAGAGCTATTGGCTATCTACCACTGCATTTCCCTTTGAATGGGTCGCAGCTACACGTTCTTATGCTGCGCTTGTTGGCAGGTGAATCACGTTCGGCTTGCCAGTTCCTTGTAGAAACCGAACTTTACGACTGAAAAGCATTTGCTGCCGAAGTATCGGTGCAATGATCCGTGGACGGGAATTCACTAGTCATTTCATGAGTCTTGCTCTGGCTGATCAAAACACACACTGATGCTGACCACTTTGTATGCTGAAGAAATCCAGTGAACATTTTCTTTACTTTCCAAACAATATCTGGTATTACCTTGTTCCAGATACTGAGTGTACATCTCTAGAACAAAGTGATTACTATGCAGTTGAACCTCCAAATTGCATGTCTTGTGGCACTCCAGATTCTACAATATTTTTACTGCCTCTCTAGTGACATAACGTGTTGACCTCACTATAGCAGGGCATTTTTTTTTAAGATCATATCATACATAATGTATGCGCACAATACTTGAATAGAAACTGATAAGTGCTTATGTTCACAGTGCCCAGCAAGTTAACCTGACCTACATATTTTGGGCTGAGCCCAACTTTAAAAGTTGACCATTGTGGTTACTGTGATTGTGGCTTGAAGCTTCTGATGCTTCATGGATGAGCTACCTTCTATTTTCAGTACCTGGTTGCTTCGATTCACATCTGAGCACTGCAGGTCACTATAATCATAGAACATTTTCATGGAATTCTTTCTGTTGGTACTTCTCTGCTGTCAAAATGATACAACCTACAACAATTGGCATTAAATTTTGCATTTAGCAAACATCAATGTGCGGTACATTTTAGATTTCTTTGGTCACTGGTGTGCGAGGTTAATTATTGTGTGTGTGTGTGTGTGTGTGTGTGTGTGTGTGTGTGTGTGTGTGTGTGTGTGTGTGTGCGCGTGTGTGTGTGTGCATGTGTGTGTGTCCAGTATTGTTGGTATGGGAGAGAATCAGTGGGTGTATTGAGTTCACTTGCATACTTGCATGCTACTCTTACAAACTGAACAAGGCGATATGGCATAAGATGTGTGTGTGTGTGTGTGAGAGAGAGAGAGAGAGAGAGAGAGAGAGAGAGAGAGAGAGAGAGAGAGAGAGAGAGAGAGAGAGAGACAGTGTGTGCGTGTGGGGGGGGGGGGGGTTGGGATGGGAGGATCTGGTACATACGTGATTGTATGTTTGCAAGAAAACAAATGGGAAGGTCGTTAGCGAGTGGAGCTGCATCTAGACCATGTGCTCATAAGAGTTTTGTGTTATGTTTTGGCTTTGTTCGGTCAGCATGATGGGCTGCCATGATGCAACAAACCCGAGTCTGCTATGACTTTCTGTACATGACTGATTCTCAGCATGAAAACAGTGCTCCTGGCTACAGCCATCATCGGTTGGCAGAGCCCCGTACTGAGTCTTGCGACCATTTGAACCGCCGGTATGGGTCTAGCCCCGGTTCGGACTCTTATTACTTGTACACTACTAGACACCAGGGAGTCATTAGAGAGGTTAGGATGAACGTTATTTCCGACATGATGTGCAATTTCACGTCAAATTTGGCGTAAACGTCCAAATTTCGACGTGAGCTGCAGGTCACTCGCGTTGTTTTTCGACGCGCGCGCCAAATGACGCGAGCTGAACTTTCGCTTCACGTCAGAACTAACGTGCATCTTAACCTCTTTATTATTATATTCCTTGCATGTATTTGTACTGGACGTCTGGTATCAGTTACAAGCCAAATGATTAACAATTGAGAGGAATTACACAAGACTGACATCCAACAACGAGCGGCAAGAAATACACAACTGACACCAGACTTCCAGTATTAATAGGTGACTCCCTATTGTAACGAGGGCTCGAACCGGGGCTAGACCGGCGACCCGTCCCCATACGTCGTTCGAATGGTCACAAGACCGGGGCTCCGCCAACCGATGATGGTTGTAGTCTGATTCAATGTAGGACTGTTTCCAACACAGTACAATCATCCTCCGCCTTGTAACATGCTGTCAACCGATCAATATTGACAAGTACAATCATGTACAATCAACTTCGTTAGTAACGACTGCGGATAATACGACAATTCGCGAATAACGACAGAATTTCCATGCCCAGAGCAAAGTCCCATCTAACTGTATACATTTAAATACAACGACTATCTGAATAACGACAATTCGCGAATAGCGACATGCTTTTAGTTTTAGTGCCCCAAGGTCATAATAATATTATTCACTGCTTGAATACCAGCTAACGACTTTCTAGGCTTTTGACAGCTATTTCAAGTACCTGCCATGCAGAAGTACCAGAACCCATGGCGATGGATAAATGCACGCATGCAAGAAGATGCAGGGGGCGGGGGGATTTTAATTTTTATTCTGCTTCAAAATAGTTGGAGTGGTTAACTACAATGTACATGACTGATTGTACTAGTACTAGTAGATGACTGTAGACTGTGTAGTTGTAGATCTACATGATTGTGCATTTTAATCATCATACATGTAGTCTACATGTACGTACATGTTCAATGTACATGTCCCTGCAGATGGCTCCAAAAGCCAAACTTTTCAATCTTTTTCTCTTGCATATTGACTTCAAGTTATGCTAGTACTTGTTCCTCAGAAAGTTTCAATTGTAATAATGAAAATAAAGTACAAGAGTGTCATTGATTATTCTCGAAGTGACTGTAGTCTTCAATCATGCACTCATATCATTAATATATTGACTAATTATTATTTTTGTTTAATTACTAGTACTACCGTACCTGGTTCGAGTCCTGGTGGTGACGGTCAACTGTTACTTTTTCTTCAGCCTCGGACTTACCGTTTGAATCATTCCCTCAAACCAATGCCATGGTCACTACTCGTAGTACTGTACTGACTTGGGCGAAGAGTGTGAAACCTCACTGAAAAATGTTGCGACAGAGCTTTTTTTCGGCCATACGAGTTGGTGCGTTTAACTTTATGCTTCGGCCATTGCTTCGGCTATGATCGAAGAGCGCATGGACCTAAGTCATTGGTGGTGGGTCCAGGTACGGCACTTGAAGTTAGTTGTACATGTAGGTGCAGGATCGATTGTAGTAAAGAGTGTGAAACCTACACTACATGTACTAGTTTTAACCCTTTGAGGCCCATAGTACGGATATATCCGTACCAGTGTACAGTGCATACTTTTCAAAGCGCAACCTGGCGTAACTCGGCCGTGACTTGACCAAATCGGACAATCGAAAGGGCTATCGACATTAGAATTGTCTCAGCTATCGGCTCGAAAACACCCGAAAGCGATCCGAGTTCGGAGAGTGGAGATACGAGACTCGAACTAAATTCCCTCAGCAGAGTCAACTCGAGCGCGTGCATTTTGAACTCGTTTTTAGGGGTTTTCCCGGACTCGCGGCCCACGCAGCTACAAATAAATCACAAAGGCATGTTTCTCAGCTCTCCAGTAAAAACAATTTGAGCGATCTGCGATGCAATTTGTTGAAATGGCAGAGAATTTGAGTTGGGCGCTCGCAATGCTGGCTTTGGAGCGCCGTATCGCGCTGCGGCGCTGGTTCTGTGGATCGAGTGATGTATTGCTGGCTGTCGCTGTATTCCTCTGGCCAAGAGCTTTCCAGAAAGCCCAAGATCACCAAAATCGGCCAAAGGACACCAAAGTTACGACCAGATAAGTACCCGGGCTCGCGTATGCAGTGCATTTCTTGAAATAATTGTGGGCCCTAAAGGGTTAACTGGTTTGAGGGAAGTAGTACTGTATAGCATCCATGCTGTGCATGTGATGCATATGTGTGCAGAGACAGCTGATCGGAAGTGTTTGCCGATAGTTTTCAAGTGGTGCTCAGGCTCAAGCTTCTCGAATCTGAACATCATGGTTCTCACGCGTATCGCAATGCGTTTTGCAGGATTGTTGTCCCAACTTTGAGACCCTAGCAACGCTGAGAGACAAGACTGAACTAAGTCTAAGTAAAGAAAAAGCACCCGAGTTACAGTAGCGGAAAATGGTGAAGTGAACCATCGTCATCGAGCCCCGCGGCAACGCACACGTGTAGTTGTAGATCTACATTTTTGTTGCGCGTCGTGGCTTGCTGCTCAGTCACCAGTCCACGTGTAAATCTACCTTAGTCCACACATTGTAACAATATTGTTCACTACCGGCACGATCCAGCTAGTCACTTGTGTGCTCTGCGGCGACTGTCCGCAACATCACGATGCGAGTAGTACTATCAGCACTTGCACAGTTGTCGAAATTACGGACTGGAGAAAACCCCTACTATTAGACTATGGTCGTCGAGTTGTGGTACATGTATCCCCACAGACTAAGTCATGGTGAAGAATCAGCGATGTGAACAATGAGCTGCGGATGCTGCCAAGGCTTGATGGTGGACGGAGAAGAAGCATTCCGATAGCATTTCTTCTGGGAGGATTTGGTGACACGTGACTTGGTGGCCACTGCTAGCTTTCTGCATGTGCCATTTCCTATTCAAGTGTTGCGTCCTCACTTGAATCCCTATGCACGATTGACGTTTTAGAGCCAGAGTGCATCATTTTACGCGATCTTGAGCTGAGGTTCCATCGACCGATTTGGGTGGCGTCGGTTCATCGCAATCTATGATAACAGTAAGTCGTGCTTTGTATGACATACTTGTAGGCAATAATTTAGCGACTTCAGTCCAACATTTTAAAATTGGAATTATGGCCAACACATTACTCGACTGGACAGAGGAACCTCTGCAGAACATACACAGAAAATATGATGGGAATATTTTTGTTCCCTACCGGATTGATGAGGTCACAAAGTTGGTATGCAATCGTCGGAGAACATTGTATGGAATTGTATGCAGAGAGGTGGCACAAAAGACAAAAGTATTCTCCGACCGGCTCATGAATATCATGCATACACAGCGGATGTACATGTATGTGTGATATGTGGGGTCATGGTGTGGTTGAGGACTGGTGGAGAAACCGAATAATCAGCTCCTGCTCGAGCACCTCCACGATTTCTACACGAAGAACAGTAGCGGCCATGGATTTACAAGCCAAACTGAGTCTTCTAACAGTCTTGCCGAGCCCCTCACATCGTGCACTTCAGCCGCTGGGCTCACATTCTTCAAGCGGGTAAAAACTAGGGCCCTGGGGTGAAACAATTATACCGGATATTCGAGTACTCGCTCGGTTTCCCCCAAAATAATCGTGTACTCGGAATAAATCAGAGTACTCGTTCATACGTCGTACATGCATTTACCACAGAAATCTGCCGTTTTAGGGCAGCAGTCAGCAGATATTGATGTGTAGACTGTGTGGTGAACTTTTTTACATGAGTAGAGAGAGCCCAGATGAACCAGCAACCAATATACCCGAGAAAAAATGATTGCCAATCGTTCGGTCAGGATTGTATCATGTGATTTTTGATAGCCCTTGGTGTGCAATTTTAGGAGATGAAGAATACTCAAATACTTGAATATTCGATCCGAGAAAATCAGAGTACTCGAACTTGGGATCTCGGTGCCAACTTTCACCCCTAGTAGAAACGGCTACAGAGAAGAACCCTACCGTGAACATATCTAAACTAATTTGAGGATGCTGAACACAATGGTGACCCGGTCATTGACTGGCAAGGTAGCTGAGATGCCGAAAATTTGCTTTGAAAACTAAAAATATGGGGCGCATACTTGCCAACCCAGCCAAAGCAAATCCCTTACTTGGAAGTAGTCACACACCGAGCAGGGGCGTAACACCCGCTACGACTGGTACGACCATGGCCGTACCACTTTTCGAAAAGTGTGGTCCGTCCGGAACATGCAAAACCGTAATTAAAAAAATCAGGATCCATTGATGCATATACGCATCAGACTTTGACCTTTTTCTACAGTAGACTCGTACTCGTAGATCTGCCATGTATTTGCAGTCGTACTGAGTACTAGTTGTACTCGACTCGACTGCACCGTGACTGAACAGTCCCAGAACGCAGGATTTTGTGTCTTTTTTGTCCGAGATGCACCAGTTCAAAGCCCAATGTCTGAGCAAAGATGTCCAGGCATTTTTGATTTAGGCCAGACCTTTCCTTGTTTTTTCAAAGAGCAATATCTCAAGGTGTAATCTTAATTTTAATTTTAATCTCATTTTTGAATTTTAATCGCAGTGAAGAGACCGTTTTTGGAGTTGAGAAGTGAAGTTTGCTAAAAGCAATATCTCAGCGATGCTTGATATGCCACTGATACTGCACAAGTATTTGAGAACTGCTTTTCCTTTGGGCATATTGTGACATTGCTCTGTCCCCGTGGGAAATCGCGATGCCACGGCCGCGCGAAAATCCACGATTTTCACATGTTTCGTGAAACACCACATTTTTGACAAAATTCACCACGGTATTCCCGGAAATCCGCCATGATTTGGGCCCTGAAAGCTGCTGTACATACCTGTGTGGAGACGGTAGTGGGGTGCTAGTGCATGCACTGTGCAGCGGCTAAGAGCCAGCCCCCCCCCCCCTCCCCCTGTATCTCTGTAGTGTTCCTTGCCTGATAAGAGCCTGAGAGGTGCAAGAAAAATCACAAAATTGAAATTCTGTAACATCGGACATCCTGTGACAGTCTGGTACCCCCTCCCCTCAAATGAATCCGTTTTGGCTTTATAAGATGTGACTTGAAGTGATGTTACGAAGTCATTTTTGTTGGTGTCTTCACTTACTCCAGTAACAGAGCGCAACGATATGTTCAAGCTCTGATTTCTCACGAAAATGAGAGGATTGTGTTTGTCCTGCCTTGCCCATAGCCAGGATTGGTCCATGACCAAGTTTCTAAGGGTCTTGGGGATTATTTAAATAATGGCATTATGTTTAATACAAGGCTTGAGTTGTCAATGTAATTTGAAGTACATGTGCGATGCACGTGCCATGCCTTTATGATCGGGTATTCCAGACCTAGCAATGCTCCAGGCAGGACAACAGCAAATGGTGAACGTATCTTCGAATGTCAGTACAGATGGGCTTGGCGGCATGGACAATGAAGAAAGCAAACTGGCAGGATGGACGGTTGCGGTGATACTGTTGGTTTCAATTGCCAACATTGCCTTGGTGCTCATCATTATTCGTTTGGTAAGTATCTAACTGACAGCCGTAGTCAGCTGAGCTCGCACTTGCTTAGCACGCCCCAAAATATTCCTTGAACGGATAGCGGGCTCACACCCAGATGTATCTTATCATCGGCATAGGCAATTTGTGCTGCACTTTATCTTAATAATTATAATAAAGTGCATTATTTTATATGCTGGTCAGACGATATGCAGGCGGTCTATTTATGGATCAATTACACAGCTGCTAGCCACGTCAAATAATATGAGGTACTATAACCTGCTTTCATAGGAATTAGTTGCAGATTCACCTGTCGAGCAGGCCAAGTGAAAGCTGTTACTTCTCATGCACCGTATCCTGCATGCATTGGCGGCCTGCTTCTCAAGTCATGCCTGTAACACAGTTCACTGCTCTGTGCCACTGCCCACTGCCCTGTGCCACTAGAGGCCAAGATGCCTGGAATCTGCCCCTACAGTACAGTAGGTCGCCGAAGAACGGGGGGGGGGGGGGGGAGGGGAGGGGGGGGGGGGTGGACAGAGCATCCCAGCATAGACCGCTCTTATTTTCATGTATCACCGTCTATGTGAAGTGACAGCACTATACCAACCATCCGTAGTATAATTATGACCGGTATCCGTTGAGGGGATACACGTGCGTGTGCGTCTGTGTGTGTCTGTCTGCACGCATTTGTGTGTATGTGTGTTATGTGTGCGTGTGTGTTTGCGCAAGCATGCATTGCAGTAATGCCCACGTGTCTGTGTACATCTACATTTTCTGGCTACAGTGTAAAGGAGAAAAGAGGGCACGCACTAAGAGATCTAAAGAGCAAGAGCAGCAGGAGCAGCATCAGCTGCAATACCAGCAGAGAAGATCAGCAAGCAGGAGCACAGTGACATCGACTTTGGACTCAATCCGCACTTCTTCAAACCCATCATATCAGAAAGGCAGCACTAGGAGGAACTCCCTCAAAGCAGATCAGAGTTCACAAGCACATTCGTTGAGCGATGATGGCGAGTCTATTGCTGCACTGGTGAAGAACTCATTCAAGAGAGCATTCTCTAAGCCCGACGGCAGTATTAGTAGTGGATCACCAAACACTGCCGCCGGTGTTAGCCCACACGCTCCTCTCAACCTCAACTCGGCACAGCCATTCTCTCCACCGGAGAATAACCGCTGGTCTCTGCTGATCAATGGTGCTGAGTCACTGACGGAAGCACCCAGTCAAAACTACCTGGACATATCATGGCATGGAGAGATTACCCAACACTCCCTTGAATACTCGCCTTATCTCTCAGCAAACATTGTTTCAAATCCCTACTGCACTGTACCAAGGGCCTCCTTTGCTTCTGCCCGTGGTAGTGGTCGGTCACGCAGTCAGCTGCCCGATGCCTGGATGAACTGTGCAAACAAGTCACTGTCAAGGGTGCACCCTAAAACCAAGCCGCAGACTATCACAGACTCGCCGCTGCTTGGCAAGAGCACTATGACTGACTCAAGCACACAGCTCTCAGCCATAGATGCTTCACGGGACACATTGTTGACAGCGGTCGGCTCCATGGATGATGATATAGATGTCCAGGCACCTCTCAGACCCCTGGTTGGTGCCCGATGCATACAGTCCAGTGTTGGTACAGATACGAGCAGCAATGCACCAAGAGTACGACGTATGGCACCCCGCTTTCAGGGGAAAATGCCTCGCTCACTCTCCGTGGGCAACTTTCAACAATCACAGCCAAACATGAAAGGCTACTGGACCAAACGTGTGGCCATACCAGCGACTGAAGAAGCAACGCAATCACCACCTGCTGTCATACTGACGAATCCTCACGATGATGTGGTGATGGCTGGAGTACCGAGCACTCATGATGCAGATATTCTACATCCGATTGAGCAGGTAAACATTCAGTCACCTGATTTTGAAGCAACAATTCAATTCAGAAGTTTATTCGCTGGTTTGAGGGAAAGATGCAGAAGTTTATTGCCAACAATGAGCCATACATGCACGCTTGGTCCTTGTTCATTCACTGAAAGTTGGTCGATTTTCATCCCACTATCTGCATCTATTTGACCCTGACAGCATAATAATGTTGCAGAAGCATAGAGAATTAGAGATGTTTATTTTCTTTTGCAAGTGTGTCTATCACATGTAGCTACATTCAGCTGAATGACTGTGATATCCTGTTACAGAGACAGTGTATCTAACTGCCAGCAGTACGCGGCGAACCCTGGGTCACTCTGCAACTCGTATTAATTAGCCTTGTGTATCAAGTGTCTGTACCTGTGTGCGACTTGTTCTTGTGCCTTGCAGTTCGATGCCTTCAGTCAGGCAAGCAGGGCCGAATCAGTGTGTCAGCATGCATTGCACGCTAATATTGCTGTGTCATCCCTGGAGAGTATCAATACAGCTCATGCTCAGTCTGAGATCATCTCCATAAAACCTCTGGCTGATGTAGCAAAGAAACTCAACTCCGCACCAAACACACCTGCAAGACGGACCACGAAGACCATGAAGGTGAGTTATCCAATGCCGCCACAATTGTGTTCATTGCCACATGTCGCCAAGCTGCGGCAGCAAGTCACACCACATCAGTTATTTGTAGCTTCGTTGCGGCATATTTTTGCCTTCTTACCAGAAGAAATTTTGTGACCGTGCTGAAACCTATTTTTCATTAGTCCATCTATTCCGTGGCCAGTACGCTTACATTGTGTGGGCATTGGTCTAGGATGTTTTCCATGGAGCACATGTACGTTGTGTGGTCATTAGTCTGTCTGTTCTGTGTGGCATATGCATACATTGTGTGCCCCCCCCCCTCCTCTAACCTTATAGACATGTGTTATCCATGTGTGGGTGTTGTCCACTATCATCTGCAGGGGTCAGTGCAGTCAGAGTCCGTTTCAAACCTGATGCTGTACAACTTGGGCTGTGACAGCGCACTATCCAAGTCCACGCGCAGCATCGACGATTGTAGCTTGACTTTGGAAACGGATGCGCCCTCTTCGCCTGTGCAAGACGGCAGTGACAAAAATACTCCCATGCAGTCGCCACCTCCCTGGACAATCGCAAACTTCACCTACCAGTCAACAGACACAAGCTTCTAACTTCTTTGCCGGCATTGCGTAGAGACGAGCATTTCTTGGAGTAAGGTGATAAACTCGATGTCAGTTTCTCTGTGTACTGAAGAGTTCAAGACTAGTGTACTCCACTCTATGTACCAAATACAATATGGCTGATATCGGCTGGCGCAGCAAGTGCTGGTTTAAGTTCTACCGCAGTCGGAAACCATCAAATTAACGTGAAATATCTAACCTGCTAATGCTCTTGCCATCAACTAGAGTCTCTTGCACGTATGCAGGTCATGGGTTACTCAGTGGACAAGCCACTGCCGGTGGAGTTGAACTGGTATCAACGTCTTGTTTAGCCGCCGTCTAATGGATCTGGACGTGGCAATACATAATGTCGTAACATGTAAGGTCGTGCTATCCGGCAAATATCGTGGAGTAACGAGTCGAGAAGTAGGTCACCGACAGGAGTAGATTACTGGTCATGGTCTTGGAGAGAGTATTACAGTAAACACTGATTTACAGTGTTAATACTAAGTCTTCAAGAACGCATGTTGTGTTGTTTCAATTTAACAGTCAAACCTTACTAGTGTACTATCATAAATTGTTAGTTTCATTTAAAGAAAATAGTATGATTTGCTATCACAGTGCATCGTTTTCACCTGAATCGTGCCCTTCTTTCTTAAATGATATTTTTTAGGAGCACGTTTAACCATCCAAGAACATGGGCTATAGAAGGAACTGTTCTGCTCGCATCTCATGCAATTCTGCCTTAATCACTACTCAACTTGTTCTTAGCTGTGTATTTGGGTTACTGCATGTCTCAACTGCATCCCTGATCACTAAACAGTTTCACCTCACGCTAACATAGTCAGTGCACAATGCCTTTCTCATCTAGGATATCCTGTAATGTAAGCACTGATTCTGTTGAATAGGCCTGGTAAATTCTTTGAAATTCTAGGTACTGTAATAACATTTCCATTTCTAGCTTTCATGACTTCACACCAGTCATAAAGCACCACTACCATCTGTGCCCCAGCAGCAGGTCCAGCCCAGGATGACTGCAACCACTGTGTATTGAATCGTACTGTTATTGCATGAATGCGCATTGCTGTGACGCTGTTGCCATGCTGGATCACGAATTCACCAGGATTAGCCTGCGGACTACCTTAATCAATATCAAATTGGGTTCACATCACTGAAGCACAATTTATGACAGCAATAGCAACGTGACAGTATCAACAAACGAATGTTTACCAAGCACACACTCCATTTTAATTTTTAACAGATTCAAGGAGTCGTAGTGTTGAAGGTTTCTGACGTGCAGTCAGAAACTATACATTCTGTTATTCAAACATGAACATGAGTCCCTCAACCTGTCTGTGAATACTTCGGAAGGCAAGAATGTCGAGGTTGATAGTGTGGATAAATGGATGTTTCAATGCGGCAGAAATGTCCCGCCTCAGTGGGAGTGGAGAGATTTCAGGCACTTGTAATTCCTAGTCACTGATTGATGACAAACTTGACATCCTTTCCCGGCCCTGCATTCGGGAGGATTTTGCAGGTGGACTATCACGGATGGACAAATGCTCGAAGTCCTTCACGCCAGCATTCCTCAAAGTGTTATCAAAATGATGTTCTGCCGCTAATCTGGCATTTGTTTGCGCGGTACGTTCAAGTAATAGCGGCCGCTCAGCCAGCCTCTGCTCCATCTCCTCAAGTTCCTGCCGGTATTGTTGTTCGCGGGCTTGTTGAGCAGCTCTGAAATGCAAGTAAAACATACACACACATACGAAAATGACAGACACAGATACCATACGCACGCACACACACACACACGCACACACACACACAGGGATGGGAGTACATTCTCTAATGTCATCTACATATGCATGTAGGTAGTACTTGCAAGTATGAAAATAATGTAATTTACCGCATTTCCAATGTACTCCCTGCTGAAGTCCCGAAGGCGGAAAATTGGAGAAATAATTACAATGATTGAACTGCCGTGTAAGGCGGTAGTGGTGTTGGTGGTTGTTCAAAGATCACATTTCAACGACTTCATACACAATGCGTGCCTATAAAACTTGGTCAAAATTATTTCATGTGGTGCAAATGATGACATGAAAGCAGAATATGGCTATCCTTTGTAGGTGTATGATCACACCATCTTGAAGCCGCTCTCACATTTCATGGAGTAGACATGCCAAGACTCATATAGAACGTTTCAGTATCTCCTGCAAATGAATTGGATCTCCATTGGGCTTTGATGCATCATGCAAAACTTCTGTGGCTGTATACTCCTCTCACAAGAAGACTGGTACCCCACCACCTCAATGTACACTTATTAATGAAATTGCTACAAGTGGTAAACGTGCAGGAAAATACCCGTGACCCAAGCCAAGCAAGTATTTCTCTGATAAACTTACTGGTTCTGTTGTAGTTTTTGATAGGCGTCAATATCCATTGACATAGATGAACGTCCACCACTGTCATTCATTGATGCAGCCAACCGGTCACGCACATTTCGCTCTCTGTCCTCCTTCTGGGACTGCAGAACTGCGTGGTCCATTGCCTGCGCCTGGCGTTTACGCAACTTTGCCTGCGTGTGATCGGTACGCAGCTGTGAGGATCGTGTTACTCTGGTGTGGAAAGAGTCGGCAGATCTCACGTACGTACTGGGCGGTGGTGCGCTGCCTGGCCTAACACTAAGCACACTGCTGGATTGCCCGTGCTCCCGGTCCCGCTGTTTCTTCTCCGCGACGATCTCCGTTCTCAAAAAGAATGGCTTGATAGTCGTTGGCTGGTGCTGCTCCCGAGAGACCTGCTGGGTCGAATCCAAGCGACGATGGAGCTCACCGAAATCAGGCACACCGGAATTGATCCGAGGCCTGAATCTGTGCTCTCGAGTGACAAATGCTCGTGATTCGTGACGCTGGCTTGTCTTGTGTCGTAGGTCACCTTGTGTATAGCGGAGGCTTTTCTGTCGATTTGCCATGCTTTGTGGCAAATGAGAATTGGCTAGTAATGTGTCAGATCTGATCTTCATACGAATCTGTCTGTACAGTTCCTCTTCCAAAGTTTGTTCTTGTGATGATGGCTCTAAGATATCATTTGGCAATGGTTTGGCACGGAATATCTTCTGCTCGGCTGGTTTCCGTGGCGCTCGTTTCCGCCGGGCCTCCTTTTTCTTCTGCTCGCGCTCTAGAAAAGAAAATGGTTGCTGGTCAGCCAAAAGTCGTTTTGCATACTCTTCCCGTGACTTCTTTCGTCTCTCCTCCTCGGCTAAACACATGGACTCATAGATTGGACGTTTCACAAATCCAGGAACATCCTTCGCAGAGAATCTGACACGCATCGCTTCCAATTCTTCCTGTTCACGTTGCAGTCGCTTCTCTTCAGCTTCCAAAATGCACCGGGACTGATTCTCCCTGTTGCGTTGCTGCCGCTCCGTTCGTCGAGTCATTTCAAATGGCTCAGGAATAGTGTAGGTTGGTGACCATGCCCCTTTCGCACTGCGTTTTAGCTTTCCCCGCTCCACACGGAAGTCATCCCACATGCTATCAATGAGATGCTGGTGACGGACACCATTTTCTGACTCGTTTCCACTGTTTTGTTGCTGGTCGTCACTTGAAGATAGTCTTTCATCAGTTAGGGACATATAATCATCATGATGCAGCGATGGGGGTAGATCTGCCCCTTCCAAATAGCCAGCTGCAAACCCATCCACTTCCACCACACTATTGGAGCGGAGTTGCCCTGGGCTACCAGACTGAGCCGACTCAGAGCTGCATGCTGAACCAGTGTCGCTTTCCAGGTCTGCGGAGGATTCCTGTGGCACATCCTCAACACGCCCAACACCAGCAGAGTACTGTGATCTGCTATTATGTGGCAGGTGTTGCGTGACTGAAACGTTGGTGCTACTTGGCTGCCGCTGATCAGCTGCTGTGGCCTGATAGGCAGGGGTTTCATCTTGCACTAGACACTCTTCCGTGCCGATGCTTGAATGATGATGGTGGCCACCTTCCTGAACGTGCCTGTGATAAAGCTTCTCCACAGCTCTCAGATTCTGCAGGTTTCTCTCCTTCAGCTCCAGCAGTTTCTGATAGTACACCTCATCACCTAGCTCAGTCTCGCTCTCATCGCCTTCACTGGCCCACGTAACTCTCTGCTCTCTGTCAGATTTCATCCGCTCACCCCTTATATCGCTATCATCTCCGCTGGCCCAGTTATCGCTCGTCAAGCGCTGCACTCTCCTCAGCTCCTCTGCGCTCAACACAGACGGCTCGTCTGGCGACTGCATGGTGTCGACAGGGTCTGCATGCGATCTAGCACAACGACTTGGAGACGGCATCTGTGTTACTGGATTACGTGGCATGCATACTTGCACGCCAGCAGCAACAGGCATTCCAGCCATGATGGACAGCCTCAGACCGATCTTGTGTATAACCGTCCTCAAAATATTTCAGCCACCATTTCAATTGTGCCCAGAACCGAGCCCAGCACCGGTAGCGATTTCCAATAGAGTTTCCTCCAAATATTCGCAACATACAAGTCCCCTTCACTTCTTCAGTTTGTTCAACAGCGCTCAGCATCGTTACAAAAAAAATAATACTAGCTCTCTGCATGACTTTGTGTACCGCGCCGCGTCGATCGATGAGACGGACGTAACCACGTGCACAGTCGTTCAGGCGTTTGCTTGTTTGTTTGTTCGCGTTGTCTACGTCCACCACGTTGCTATGGAGGCGCATCGACGGTATAGGGCTTGAAAGTGATGACGTCAAAACGGCCAGGGGGTAGTAACTTGACATCAGATTTCTATTTTTGGATCCACTAAGGTGTGACTTTGCTATTGCCTAAGTATGTGGGTGCATAGCAACCCACTCATGTCGCATGCAGGTGTGACTTTTATTTCGCCACTAGTTGTAACCCCGCCCCCAGTAGCCAAATCAGTCAGTTTCACTGGCTACATCACCATGCTGTGGGTAAGACCGCTTGAAATTTGCTTGGATCCATACAAAAACTGGATCCAAGTGGATCCAGTTTTTGAATTTTTGAAATTGTTGCTATGCTGTGACGTAGCACTTTCAAGCCCTATTCTGTGACAGCAAAATATGTTTTTTAGTTTTTTTACGAGAAACCACGAACCTCGATCGAGGACATGACAGTACATGACTTGCAAGCTTGTGTATTTACGTTATACTTGACTAGCAGCACCACCGGCCAGCGTTGCCTGGCCGAATGTGGCATGCGCGGGTGAAGCAAGTACATGAACAGCACACGTGCTCAGCACGTGGTGGTGGCCAGACCGCTGAAGTCCTGGCCTGGTGATCGTGAGGGAGGTTCTTCATCGTTGGAAGGAGAAGGAGGGACGTAGATCTACGTCTGTTACGCCTTCGGGAGGCTGGTCAGGGTTGTCCATCACCTGGTGGCGGATGAAGCGGCTCAAAACATTCATAAACTTACGAACAAAAGTGCGATGCGCTCTTCACTGCAGATCAGATGCAGAGTGCAGTCAGTGCAGATCTTTTGTATCCTTTTGTTGCAGATGTTTCTATTTGCAGAGAACGGCTCACGTGGTCCGCAGCGCTTGTGCGGCTGCTAGTGCTACCTATGCATATGGCCTAGGCTAGGTGGCTACATGATTAGTGACTTTACTCCCTCGCACCCAGACGCTGATTTTTTGGAAACAAGTTTCTATACTTCCGATGGGAGAATCCGACATGGCAGTGCATTTCGGCGTGGCCAGGTCAAATTGTAGAATATCGCATCGAGTGAATTGCTTTATCTGAGAGAGGAGATGTTCGTGCCCTTGAGACCCGAAGTCCCGTTTCCATACGACAAAATTTAGGAGCTCTGCGCTCAGCGCTTTTTCAGGGTATGAATTTCGGGTTGTTCTGGTCGGGTCGCAGCGTCGCGGATTATTCCATCGTCTTCAGCATCGAAAAACTACTGGCCATGTGAAATTACAAGGCGGTGAGACGCTTTCGTCTTCCTCTACGAGCGAATTTGTTCTGCGCCAGCATACCTTAAGCCTGGTTCACACTAGGCCGATTTTCCGGCCGATGCTCCGACACCGACTCCGACATGGAGTCTGCCGACTGTGTCGACTGAGTCGGACGGCCTGTTCACACACGGGGAACGACTCACTCGCAATAGAGTCGCATCGATTATCCATAAAAGCAAGAGTTCATGGGGGTTATGAAATTTTGGTAGGACTTTACATTTCATCAAGAGTACAAAGTACAAGAGGTCATGAGCTCGACATCGACGCTCTTTGCTGTCATGGTGAAAAGCGTACCGTGATTGGTCCGAATCCCGCTCCATCACGTGCAAGCAGTAAAATCGGCCGGCTTTTCGGCTAAATATCGACCAGTCGATACTTGGCCGAAAACTAGTGCGACAAGAAAATCGCCGCAGTTTTGTCGGAACCCTGTACGACAACACAGTTCACACTACGCAATTTTCGCCCCGATCTTGAGGATTTTTCGTACGAGTCCATGTCGGCCGGAAAATCGGCCTAGTGTGAACCAGGCTTAAGTATGCAATTTCGTACGCGCAGTTCGAGTGACGAGGCGTGTGCACTGTACACTGTACTGCATGCACGGACTGTGCGGTCGTTCTCGATTCTCCCATCGCTCCCATTCATTTCTGTTTCCAGCAAAAGTCCAACTTGGCGCACTTCAAATCACTATAACTCAAGAATGGCTGGGCCGATTCGAATAATACTTACAGATTTCCTATGTACTACGCCTGGGAGAATCGAATGAGACCAAAATCGAAGCGATCGGAGCAAGTTTTGGAAATTGGGTGTAGTCACTAACATGATTCTCACGCTTCGCGTGCTCAGTGCTTCTGCGCGCGGCTGCTACTGCTACTCGTACTGATCGTGTCTGCTACCACCTACACTGTTCGCACGCTTCGCGTGATCAGCACGTGGTGGCCGTGGTGGCTACACGATTCGCACGCTTCGCGTGCTCAGTGCTTCTGTGGCTGCTTCCGCTAGCGCTAGCTACACGATTCGCACGCTTCGCGTGCTCAGTGCTTCTGCGGCCGCTAGCTACACTGTGCTACACTGCTCGCACGCTTCGCGTGCTCAGGGCAGCGCTGCTCCGCAGCGCTTCAGCGTGACACAAACACACACGTCACAGGTGCCTCTTCTTTATAAGGAGCGTGACACACACACACACAGACACACGTCACAGGTGCCTCTTCTTTATAACTATATAATTATAATTATAAGTAAAGATAGAGGTGGCTGCAGATGCAACTGTGCACATGTGGTGGTGAAACTGGAGCATCTCCGGCGACCTGAGGCTCGAGGTCTCGGCTTCAGCGACTGGTGGATAGTGCCTGCAATGGTGAATGTTTTGGTCGCTCGAGGTCCCGGAGTCAGTGCAACTACAACCTGACGGAAATGCTGGCCATGGCGATAAGGAGTACAGTCTACCACTGTACCACTGTACCAGCGAATCACATGCCCATACATGTACATGTACTGTAGTCATTGGGCGCTTTCGATTACACGTTTACACAATTCTGGAACTGTTTTTTTTTTAATTCTGGAATGACCAGAATGAGCGGATTCCGGCCTTGTAAACGAACAACTGGAATTCACAACGCATTATTTTTATTCATGTCATGTCACAAACGAAATTTATGAATCGTAAAAAGAGATCACGTACACCCTCGCGCGCACGTGGACCCAGCATCGCGCACACGCCGGCCAGGGAGGTTCTTCGCGCGCTTGAGTCATGACCAGACCGGTAACACACCGACTGTGCAATTCTGGCGCCAGAGAAATTCCGCCCTCTCGAGATTCGACGGAATTGGATAAAATCAATTCTAACCACGGAATTTGTCACTTTTTGTGTAATCGAACTGTGCATCAACAATAACTAATTCTAGAATTGACCGAAATGCGTGTAATCGAAAGCGCCCAATGTTGTTTGTTGATGGAAATGACTATGGCTTGGACAGAATTCCCAAGTCTTACACATTATTGGCTTGCTCTCATCCTACAATGGCTCCATGACACAGGACAAAATAATTACAATGACTATGATTACTGTCGTTTGAGTAGCATTTTACTTCAGGTGTGCTGCAATGACTTTGCAGCAGGGAGTCGTATAAACCAGCCCTCCAGTCCCTGCTTTTTTATTTTATTTTATTTTATTTTTTATCACATTGCACATACCTACGGAAGAAGGGGAGACAAAACAAAGACAAAACAAAAAAGACAACAATGGGTGTGTAGGCGCTACATGAGCTGCGCTGGTGAGATGCAGTGGACTCCCCCGACCAAGGGTCTCGCGATCGGCGTACACAGCAAGCACCATGGGAGAGGGCGAGAGGAATGGCGGAGAGAGAGAGCGAGAGAGAGAGAGAGTGAGAGAGTGAGTGAGAGAGAGAGTGAGTGAGAGAGAGAGAGAGAGAGAGAGAGTGAGAGAGAGAGTGCGAGAGCTTTGCAATGATTATGTGATATGGACTGCAGATCTATACCATGCAGGGACCGTGCTAGCTTTTCCTGCATGCAGCTTTTCCTCTACTACTGATTGTAGTACGTCCAACGAAGCAGCTGGCGATAGCTACTCAGAATAATTATTATGATTCGTCCGGCACGAACGATTAATCAACGGTGGACGCTAAATGCAATTAGAGATACTCAGCGGAATGGCGTCCTAGGGCGAGTTGAGAGTGCAAAGCACCCCACTTTCCAACTGAGCCAATAGCGGAAAAGTAAAACCGGCTCCAAAAGGCCGATGTGAAGATAAGCATCTTGACATATCGCTCTCTCCATTCCGAGCTAACTGTCTAGAAAGTGGGACCATGCTGTGACAGGGAATGCGTCCAAGCCAGCATCATTTAGCATGCGGGACACTTTACTTCAAGCCGCGATGATTTCACAGCCCTCGAGCCGTGAGTATTGCGCAGCTCGACTCAAACTCAAAGCCAAAGTCCCAGGATCGGTCGGTCCAGCTGCAGGTCTGCTGAATAATTAGACCTTTCTGACCGCCAAGCAACGTGTTGTACATATCCGCGGAAGGCATGCAAGCATCGCACTCTCCCTCCTTACCTACATGTACATGTAGCTTCAGCGGATATACCGAGTTTGCCTTTGGTCTGTGGCTTCGACAGCTCAAGGCTTGCATGAAACACTTGGCACGTATCGGATAGTGACGGATTGAACAACTCGATCATGTTACTACTAACTTGTGTGATGGGATTGGAAGCAGCTTTCCCGCGTCCAAAGCGTTTTGCACTCTTTCTACTCACTTTACTCAGTCTCTACTCTTTACTACGTATACAGTACTACAGTACTACAGTGGTCTAGAGGATTGACCTTGACTTGATAGAGGTCACGCGTTCACACTGACAAGCCGGTACATACGGAAAGATAATACAGTCTTTGCAGTGTAGATCTGCGTGTGTGGGTTGAGACAAGGTTTTCAGTCGTTCCTTTTCCAGGCGTAGCACGGCGAAAGGGAACACTAACCTTGCCACCTTAGTTCAGCAGTTTCGGGTGCCAACTACAGCACGAGCATACCGGATGCTGATTTTAGTGTCGTTGAAGAGGTCAGCGCTTGCTCACTCCACTCCACAGGGTCAGTGGTACACTTGCCGGTCACGCGGTTGACGAGTTGTCCGCGGAAGCGACCCAGCCGAGAGTCAGGCGACCTCCGGTGGCAAATAGCTTACCGGTTCTCCAATCAAGGACTGAACGAGCACAGCCTAGCCAGGGAGAGGGGGAGACCGCAATACGGTAAGGGTTTTTCTCCAAATAATTACAATTCCAAGCATTACAGAACTTGTTCCTTATTTGTTCGCTGGAAGTATGCTATTGGCGTGGTTTTTCCACAGCTAAAAGGGAATCAGAATGTCTTCGACCAGTCTGTAAAGTCCAGGTGAATGTCGGTATATAAACACCGTAAAGCTTCAACGAAGTCGGACACCATCACTGAAAATGGTTTGAGACATGGTGAAATTGTTTCAACTCCCGGTGAATCTCCTCACTCCTTCTGAATATTCGAATGTGCATTTACAGCTGTTGTGGGGGGATGGAGGGGTCATTTTATTCTGAGTTCGCCGTTGTTTGAGCGGTCCTTTGCCGAAGAGGTACTAGTGTTAGAGTGAGAGGTCTGTGCCACGCAGATCGTAACTGGGTGTAGAGCGGCCCTTTTCAACCAATGGTGTTTAGTCACTGCAGCTGATCCGTACAGCATGTGCACTCGACGGAGCTTCCAAGTTGGCAGTGTCAAGCACAGAAGGAGTAGGAAACGGGTAACAGGACATACCATTGAGGGATCCCTTGCCTCGCATGCGCTTTCCATCACACTTGTTCTGCACCAGACCACTACAATGTGGGAGCTCAGGGCAGACAAGATTGCCCCTAGTGCAAGCATGGTCAGGGGTTTCGCTGCTTCAATCTGCTCGTGGATGGCTTGACATGTGGCTGCAAGAGATATGTAGTCCACCTGCGTGATTGCTGGCACTTTACCTAGTCAATGCATGCCTATCATGACGGCTGGGTGAAGCACTTCTTCCCCTAGTGGGACTGGATGGAGAGAACAAGATCCCAAGCCAGCCAGCACAGCCAGTTTCTTCAGTATCTCTTCGACCACCCTGAGCACGTTCCATCACGCGGCTGAATCACAGGCTCTGTGCGGGGCAACAGTTATGAATCGCTCATGGGTGATGGCCAGCATGTCTGCCGTTATGTGCTCCGGTACAACTGGTTCACACTGCGTGGCAGTGTCGAATATGCTGCATGAAATGATCAGCTGGATTGCAAGATTGCCATGTCTGAACAGCAGAGCATTGGCACACTGATTTGCACTGTGCAAGCTGCCCCAGAAACAGCATATCCTCAGCGCTATTCCTATTGGCTCTCTATCCCACATTTCCGCAGATACACATGCACAATCTCCTGTGCAGGTTAGACGGTAACACTTCAAATCAGGCAATTTAAGCATTGTTGTGTCGCATCCTGTCCTCATTTTGAGAAAGATCACCTTTGTAAGATAGTTAGTCAGGGATGCGTGTAATAGAGTGAGGTAATTCTGTGAGTACAGGTGAAATTTTCACCGACGAATACATGGTAACAATCCTAGTTCCTGGATGAGACTGTGCTGCTGTGCTGTCGGAATTGCTGTGTAACTTAACCAAAGGAGACTGGTTAGTTTCAGGAATGACAGTGATCTCCATTGTACAGTAGTGCTAGTGACCTGGCATACTACCAGTAAAATGCCACAAATGCCCTATCTTGCAAAGAGAGCTGGCCCAAGAGGAGCAAGTCAGCTTTGGGCCATGTGGTATCCTCAGCAGGAAGATCGGAGATCTGTTTTGTCCAGTGGCTTTGAAGTTTGACAGTCCTGCTCATCATGACTGTTGTTGCTAATGAGAGGAATTACTTTGCTCTGAAGTGGGTATTGAAGCCTAACACTTTCAGTGACTGTTTTGTTCATACTTTGCACACAATGGCTGAAGCTGATAAGGAGCCTCAATCAGTGACAATGTGACTGAGTCAAGTGTAACTTATGCCGGCTGAAAAGCGCATGGGAGGGTCTTGGCTCAGTGCATTGCAGTTGAGTGCAGACGATTACTATGTCTGAGTCCCTGCTGCATGTGAGCTCGTGTGTGCGGGTGGGCCAGCAGGTGTGGAGACTGTGGACTGCACCCATGGTTCTCATCTTCTTGATAAAGCGATGGTGATTTTTGGTTGCTTGATTTTGTCCTGTTCAGAACGGATCCAGTTGCAGTGAGAATGGCGTATGCTCTAGGTGTTCTCTTCCTGTTAACAGTACTGGGTGCTACCTCTGTGGTATGTCAGGTAAGCAGAACTTGTGTGTGTAATAGAGGTGTGGTGTAGTACTGCATGGCCTAGTCGGGTGTCTCTCTAGCTTCCTCCCCCCCCCCTCCCACACACAACTCTCTCTCTCTCTCTCTCTCTCTCTCTCTCTCTCTCTCTCTCTCTCTCTCTCTCTCTATCTCTCTCTCTTTCTCTCTCTCTCCCTCTCTCTCTCTCTCTCTCTCTCTCTCTCTCTCTCTCTCTCTCTCTCTCTCTCTTTCTCTCTCTCTCTTTCTCTCTCTCTCTCTCTCTCTCTCTCTCTTTCTTTCTCTCTCTCTCTCTCTCTCTCTCTCTCTCTCTCTCTCTCTCTCTCTCTCTCTCTCTCTCTCTCTCTCTCTCTCTCTCTCTCTCTCTCTCTCCCGGCATTGGCAAGGAAACCAAATAGTACATTCCAGTGGCATAGCTGGTCTACTTTTTAGAAAGAATGGGCGGGGGGGGGGGGTACGGCCAAAATATTATTGAACCGGTTAGTAGTTACTGAATATTGTACGCGGTTTGTAATTGAAATTTCACTGTTTATGTATACAGCTATACAGACAATCAAGTGGACTTTGCACGCTAGCACTCGATTCCGGCTGCACTGCAGGCATTGAACTAGGATCCCTAGGCCACATGCCCAACTACACACATGCTGAACGAAGATCAATAGATGTTGTTGGGGGGGGGGGGGGTGTACATGCCCCCTATACCGATCATAGTCTATACATACCTGCCTTCACATGCATGTCTCACTGACTCATTCAGCAGTGCAGGAGGTGTGCAGTGTGAAATAGTACTGATGATGGATGCTGTCACCACCAAGGGGAAAGTTGAGCATCAGCAGTATGTTTGATCTCAAGTTGAGTGAGATCCGCACTTCACTAATCTATGCTCACTCATGTGTATTCGTGGTCTTTGTGGTGAACTTTCACAACAATAACACACACAGAAGTCTCTGCTCAGTACAATCTGCACGTACAAAAGGCGGTTAGGCACTGCAAATTGCTGCAACAAAGGTTTAGGAAAATCCCAAAAAGTGATTTTGCTTCCAGGCAACCTGAGCACAAATGTTCTAGCCGACTACAAAGTTACATGCTTGCTAACACTCTGTGGCCGTTCAAAAGCGTACCTTCATTGTACTTACAGGGTACACGGGGTATTGTGTGGAATCAGTGTCGGATATGTCCCCGTCCTAATGTGGCCGTTTTCTGACTGTTTGCATGCGTGCTGAAGGGAAGAGAAGGTCTAGGGAATATTCAACAGATCAGAACCCCTTTCCAAAATTGGGAAATGTCACTGTGATTCTGTATGACATTGAAATGGGAGTTAGTGTTTGTCTTTTCCCTGCAAGCCATGTACATTTTGTTGGTACATGAGCATATTAATGGCGTGCTGGTGTCAGTTCTCATACTGAATCGTTGGTGTTGAGTTTGGGTTTCCGTAGTACGAGAGTCTGTTCATTCGACGACGCACTTATAATTTCAGTTTTACCACCTGATTGTGGGAGGCTTGAGGAATGATTATGGGCTAGCCATTACATTGCCATGTTGGGTAGTTTGAATCAGTGTTGTCAATCACACAACACACTGCATATCTGGGTTCAGTGGTAACCATGGAAGTTCTTAATTCTCGGCATTCAAACACCTTGATCAAGAAACCAATAGCTTGTCCAAATGTCGCCTCTCCTCTAGTACTTGTTATGTCTTGGGTGATGGCACTGCAGGGGAAGTATAGTCGATATGCATGGTGTGACTGGCTGTTCTGTACCATCCCTGCTTTTAAGCTAGTGACTCTTGTGTACTGTATATTCACATGGAATATGTGTAGGACTAACGGGTCAGTCATCATCAAACAGGCACTTTTCTCTTGATTGCAAAGGAATTCCAGTCCACAGGCACACGGTACACTAATCATGCAGGGGGTAACGCCTTCCGAAGTGGATCATCAGGACTAGATATTCTTTAGTTGGTCGGTGCGCGTTCCCTGCATGGCTGGATGTTCTGGTGGTTGTTTCTGCATGGAGTAACCAAGAAGTCATGCATAGGTAGTGAAAGGAATTGGCAAGCTTGAGAGATACAGTGTCACACCTGAGCTTTGTAAAGTTCAGTCTGGAACTGCCATCAACTGCATCAATCCATTGCCAGATGTCAAGGATAGTAGGCACTATGGATACCAATTTATCTGTTGAACCCCTGTGGGTGATTGCTGTTATCAACTTGGAAACTTGCTAATATTAATAGGGAAGAACTACAACAGGCAGATGAATAGACGGGCTCCAAATTACCCAAGTACATACCCCGTACCGTACAAGTTTGCAATCAAGCGTTAAGTGGTGGTTATCTGTCATCTCCGCCTGGCGGCGTGCATACAGTGCATTGCCAGAGGGGCTGGGGCAATGATGACACTAGCATGGTGTAGATCTAGTCCATGACTGACTGCAACATTGTGTGAAAAGCTAACTGCACTGTCTAGGGTAGGACATATCAGTGAGTCAGTCATCTAGATTACATTCACAACATGCCTTCTGTGAATAGCCCTCGGGCCGATTAGAGAGACTCCTTCAGAGAATTTGCATTGACAGCTTCGATGCAAACTAAGTACAATGCATAATTATACTGCTTCACAGTGGAGCCAGAGGCAGGGTGAATACAAAACAAAGGACACACTTCGGACAAAGGATAAGTGATAAACATAAAAATTGCTTTTGTAGGAATAATTTGAGTACGCCAAGAACCCATCACCACTGGTATGCTCCCTCTGAAGTGAGCCAATACCGGTGGCAATTGATATTTGTATGTAGCTAAAAAAAACCATGCACAGTGTATCATTCTTGGATAATGTCCAGTGGAGTGGGATTACTTCTGTATAAATTTACAGCCTTTGTATACTCAGTATTTGTGCTTGTCAATGGCCCATCACCTGGAATTATTGCCAATCTTTCTGCAGGTCTTTGACCACTTTGTGGTGGGTCTGATCTACTCATCCCCACCGATTTAGGAGCTGCATCTGTGCCTTGATTGATAGAGGGTGGTGGTGCTCCTACGGATTCACTTGAGCCTGACTCGGCCTGCAGCCGAGTCTCAAGTGAATCGTGAATTTCGGCACTTCACGATTTTTGACATTTCGGCGGCGATTTATTTTCGGCGTGGGGTAGTGGGCATGGTATAGTGCGACAGATGCTGTGAAAAATTTCATCGGCGTTTTAATGTAGGCGTTTTGGGTCGGTGCCGAATATAGCCGAAATTAAATAGCTGCCGAAAATTTGTATATTACAGTAACCGATATCGAGTCTGCAGTTTTGCACGTTACACGAATATTGATCACTGCCATTCATGTTGGGTTTTCTAGGTTTCACCAGGTGTGCAGGATTGTCCCCACTGCCAGAACAACTGCAATGGAGATCGGTCTGTGGCGTACGTCATTGACAACACAGGGAGCATGCGCAACGACATTGGCCAGGTGTGCGAGCGCACACGCGAAATGGCAATTATCGCGGAGCAGCATCAGCTACATGACTCCATTCATCGTTGCCTACTGGTGCCATTCGGAGATCCAGGTAAGAGTGGAATTGTTTTTCAGTCGAAGGCAATATTCTTGGTGATTAATACAATCATTCCTTTAAAAATCAGTGACTGGAATACCAGTAACTAATTTTGTTGGGAGCTCATAATCACCATGCCGACTGAAAACTATGTCTTGAATTGCCACTCAATGCTATTTTGCATGCCGCAATGGTGTGCAGAATTACCTTTGGCTGATGCCATAATTAATACAGAGGTGATCAGATGCATAGATACTCAATGCTGATTATAGCATTTGCCATAGCACAACACCACACCATGATCCATCTCCTGATAATCGGCGGAAAAGGATATCTTGATGTATCTTGATGTATCAAAATTTAATATCTTTCCGTCATCATGATAATGTATGGCCATTTTGACCTCAATAGAAGTGATTTCTATCTCGAACTGATTGCAGATCACTATTATAAACCCAGGATCAATGACTAGCTTCGTCCAATCCATGGCACACCAGGATACAGAGGTTTTAGTAGCATGTTGCGGGATTATTTATGTGCGCTAGAATAGACCGCCACCCCATGCTCTGCTCATGACACGATCTCATGTGTTGACAGCCTGTCGTGGAGTTTGAAAGTTCTGAAGAAACTTGATTGTGAGAATCTACAGTTTGCTGTATGGCCTCATTCCAATGAGCAGGATATCAGCATACTGAACATGCAACCATTGTCTTGTGTTGACTGTTGGAACAGTGATCGGCCCACCGCAGTTTTTCAACCACCTGAATCAGCTTGCTGATGCCGCCTGTAGTCTGCGCCCCACTGGAGGAGTCGATTGCCCGGAGAAGGTTCTGAGTGGTCTGCTGATGGGGCTGGAGAGTTCCTGTCCAAAGTCAACCGTCTATGTATTCACGGATGCCGTTGCCAAAGACTTGGAGCTACTAGGACGTGTCCTGGAGGTCATCCAGAGCAAGCAGATCAAGGTACAGAGTCTTGCAACAGTTATTGTGGTGTCATCTTACATTTGAAGAGGGAAATAGTTAGTGGGCACACCCATTCCCAAAACAAACCACATCTGAGCCTGGTTCATTATCACAATGTTTTAGTACATGTACTTGATCGTTGGCAGGTACATGAGACAATGACTTCAGCAGGTACATGAGACAATGACTTCTTACACTTAACATGTCATACACTATTTGCGAACTTTATCTTACTTTTACAATGGATTAGGTTACTTCAAAGTATTTGAATAGAAATTACAAATTTGGACTTCACAGAGAATTTCAAAGTATTAGGAATTTAGAGGCCGCAGGTCTCACATTCTTCTTTTTCCTCTCCAAAACTCAACACTTGCAAGCCAGATGCGAAAGAAAGAAAGAAATGTGGATGGTATACATGCGAAGCATGCGGGAACAATGTCAGCTCCATTATGCATTTATTTTGCTACCTTGCTTGAAGTTGTTGGTCAAAGGGTGCACACTACCGTTGTAACTTGACAAACTCCCTACCTCCTCTTCTCTTTACCAGGTCTATCCTACTCATTACCTTCATGAGCTAAGGCAAAAATTATTAGCCTCATAGTAGCGACTTCAGTCTAAAGGTTGTAAGTTGAAATTACGGCCAAGTTTAATTATCAGACATCTGTATGGAATCATAGTGTTGAGTGAATTCAATGCAGGGGAGGGGGTGGGGGGGGGGGGGGCAGAAGAAGTCTAGAAAGCTGTATACTTGAATTGTACCATAATTCAAAGTGTGAAAGATCTCACCTGTAGTTGGGCGTGGACTCGTATTATACCGCAGATAGTCTGTGAGTGACAAACTGCTTTCAAGCGGAGTATTTTGCATAGCCCATATCGGTCTCTGTCTCATCTCCACTGAATGTGTGTTTCAGGTTGTTTTTGTCCTCTCTGGATCATGCGAATCATCTGACTCTTCCTACTACGACACCATCACTGCCATATCCGGTGGTCAGCTGTTCCGCATCGGCAAGGATAATGTCGGCGACATACTCAAGTTCTCACAACTCTCCATCAACAATGAACCACAGGTGCTGCTCCTCTGGGAGCAAACTACGCCGCCATTCTGGAGTTCAGACTTTGTCGTCGAGCCGGCAATGACATCTGTGCAGGTAGTCGTCAGTTGTGATAACGAGAGCCCTACTGTGGAGCTATATCAGCCCGGTTTCCTGGACCCCATCAAGCCACGACAGCAGTCTATGTTTGTTGATTGGAAGACCTATTCTAGCTCGGTGCTTGCTGTCCTGGACACACAGTCTCTGCTATCATTTGGAACGTGGCAGCTGCATGTGACAAGTTTGTCAACGTGCCGCGTCAGCGTCACTGCTCACGGAGTGGAAGAGATGACCTCTTCCTTTGCCAAAATCACTGAGATCAACGAGTTTGGTGAGGAGGTCTCGCTTGTCTCGCCAGAACAAGGTGTGTAAGGATCATTACACTGTCATTTTCCAACTGTATCTGAGTCGATCCTGTATTATTGCAGTCAATAAGATGCCTTTGTTTGTAGCTACTTTCCTAGATGGTTGTCCCTGCGGGATACTGTCAGACAGTATGAGTATTCGTATTTCGAAGTGTGATTTTGCATGTTTTCTACGCAGGGTTTTTACTACAATTATTCTCCAATGCAAGGGTGGAAGTGAACATTGCAAATTGGAACATTGCAACCTGCACTTCAGATATTTGAAATCAGACACTCCTGTTCCTACGTACTCTGCCGGCACATACCGATCCTGATATGAAGCATATAGACAAGGTTTTTTGCTTACAGCAATTTGAGCAGTTATTGCTAACGTCGGCATCATTAGCGGCAGTGTTTTCAATGTGATCCACTTTGTTGGTTCTGTGTTGTTGTTGTTTCAGGATCAAATTACATAGTGGTGTCAACGCCAGATTCGCACATCGTTCAGTATGTTGAGCTGGTGGGTATGGATGGCAATCGGTTCTCCTCATCGTCTCCCACAGACGGTGGTATGTCCGAAGGTGCAGCCGGAGCAAAGGATACAGTTATTGGACCGACCACCGTGCCCGGCGAGAGCTTCTTCATCCGCTATCGGGGGCTGCAGAATATCAGTGACAATGGAGGGCATACGGGTGGACAGCCGTTCAAGAGATACTCTCCCACTGCACTGACTCCTAAAGGTAATCATTAGAAGTAGTGTCTACGACTTTAGTCTCCGGGAAGTTAGCTGTTGGAACCTGCGGTTGTTGCATGGGAATGAGTGCTAGTTCTCTGACCTGTGCCAAATTATCATGAAATAGCCCCAATAGGCTAAAGAATTGCTCCCTACAGATATGATCACCTTCTTATCTTTTCTCCAACATTCATTTTTTACCTACTTGCCTGCATACACACGTGTTACCAGAACAGAACGATACAGATACTCTTCAAGTATGAACATTGGATGTAGATTTTGCGCATGTTTTCTTTGCCTCTGTGTACTTTCACTGTAGCCACTGCCCCGCTGGCAGGCTCCAGCTCATCCATTTCAGCAGACCATTGCCAGCACCTGAAGCTCAAGTGTTCTGGATTGAACGGTTACGACCAAGGAGAGTCAGAGTACCCAGTGACCTGGTTCAGGAATGCACATGCTCTCGTACCCGGATCCCTGGTCGCCAATGCCAGTATCATACAGTCAGGTGACATTAGTGTACTGGAAATCTCACAGTTTGCACCGCACCACGCCGGCCTCTACTCATGCTTTGTTGCCAAGCCAACAGGCCTGGCTCTTGTTGCCGAGTATGATGTCATTGCCAGAGGTACGTGTGAAGTGGGTTGTGGTACTCGAGAGTGCACTTGATACACCTCCGTGTACTAGACGTAGTACAGCCTATACTTTTAGAGAGAGTGGGAAATGGAAACTACAGTCGACTCCAGTTATAACAAACTCGCATATAGCGAATTTTGTGATATAGCGAACCATTGTCCATATCACTGTTTGAACGCATACAAAATTGACCCTTTGTAGCGAACAGTTTTCGTTTAGCACGAACCTAATCTTGTAGGGCTGCATGTAAACCAAGTGCAGTCACACTGTTATGGGGCACATGTCAATCAAGACTTGCTGCTTTGTATAGTACTCAATGAAATCTGATCGTCTTTGTGCTCCGCTCGTACAACACCGCAAACAACAACAGAGTTGCATAGCCAGTGGCTGGCAAGACAGGTTATGTCTGGTGATCACTTGCATGTGAAACTCAGAATTCAGTGCCATTCATGTGTTCGAGGGAAAGAAAGGGATACACTCTGAAAAATTGTCTGTCATCCCCAGGAGTCAAAACCAGGGATATTCGCTAAAGACCAGCGATGCTCTAACCACTAGAAAGTATGCTATGGCCTGGTTGCCCTGCATGCAGAGACCGTTCAACATCTCCTTCAGACTTAGAAACTCCTTTTCCTGTGAAACTACACAGGCTGGTGGGAGGCAGCACCTTTCACTGTGCCCGCATACTTCATGCACACACTACAGCGCGGGGAGCTTCAAAGGATCACATATGCAGTGCCTTTGTTCTTCCTTCTCTCCACCCGTGAACAGGGCTCAATGCTGTATGGGGCCATGGTTTGGTCTAGTGCTGGCTGGATCTAGTATTACCTGGGTTCTATCTCACATAATATTATATTTAAAAAACGGTTCTAGATGACATTGCGGGACATTGTGTTGTCGACACTCTGGAATGTATACGTGAAATTGCACTCTGTCGTGTACTGGGATGATACCGCGATCTTTCTCTGTACATTCCCCTAAAGACACAATTCTGGTAGATTCCTGTTTATCCAGTTTTACAGGATCTAGTTGACGAGAAGGAGTAAATTTAAAATGAACATGAAAAGAAGTTTGCAAAGCCATAATGTACACACTCCTATCACAATGAATATTTTTCTTCATCAGCTCACGACTGCATGTCGTTGCCGGAATCACAAGTATGTTAGTCACAGTCTACTGGTTTGTGATCTGTGAGTGCCCATTGCTCACTGTAATTTCACAAGTTTTTGGTGTACTTCTATTTCGGTACTTTCGGTGCATCTGTTTCATACCTAAAATTTCAATACACCGAACAAACACTAACATACATAGTCCAATAGGGAATTGCTCCTCTGTACCTAAAATTTCTGTTCACCTAACGTGGCCTTTTGCCCTCATACTGAAAATATCGAGCTCCTAAAAATTTCTGAAATTAGAGTATTCCATTGTTTTACCACCCTTCTCATGTGTGCTCATAGAGAACACAAGCAGACCATGTGCAGGTGAGCAGGCCGAAAACAAACAACCAGTGGCCAGAACTCCATCAATCTGGACAGCTCAGCACGCTGTAATACATTGCCTGATGCTGCAATGCATTGCGCGTGCTGACAACCCACAACCTGAACAGGTGCAGTGGGCCAACACTCAGACAGGTCACCGTTTCACACGCAGCACCGTACACAGACACTTTGCTGTGCTCAGCAACGGCTCACTGCGTATTTGTGACCCGCAGCAGCAGCACCTTGGTTGGTACATGTGCAGCACTCCACACAGCACACGGCCCAGTGCTGTACGTGTAAAAGGTAAATGACGTAGTTACCGGTTTCATGGCTAGTGTATATAGCTCTGTGTGCTGGGTACATAGGACAGACGATTTTATACCAATCTCAAAGTTTGAGATTGGTGGGATATGTGTGTGTGGGGGGGGGGGGGGGGGGAGAGGGGGGGGGGGGTAGCCAAATTCTTTAATTTGGCACTGGATTGATCCCTCCTTTTCTCCTCTGCAAGTCTGTATGCCTGCACTGTTTCGAATCTCCTTCATTGTAGTCTGATGACTGGTTGTCTAACCATGGAACTCTCAGTTACAACAGCTTAGTCCTAACCTTACTTTGTAGAATTGATCAATCGGAGCAGATAAAGGAATTCCAAGGCCAAGTCTTCATAATGTTGTGTTTCTGTATTTCCTTCTTGGTCACAGCTTCCGACCTGAACTTCCAAACAGGTGCCAATGAAGAAGAGGTGGATGAGGAAGAGGAAGAAGTTCTGGGTATGTACTATCTGAGTGTGACCGCTGCATGCTGTTTGTATATGTGCACATACAAATACAGGGCTGTGCTAAAGTCCACGCTGCAAGAAAACATGGCAAATGCGGCTTTGTGATGCATGTGAATTCATAAGCATCGTTGCAGTGTAATATTTTCTAACCAATGTCCGCAGAGTCTCACACTAGATGTACAAAGCAGGTGATATGGTCCATTCTGACTTACAAACTTGCTGCCCTCTGTTCTAAGTACTCTCTCTGCGCATCCATCATGACGCTAGAAACAGTTCAAGTGACTTCGGCCATTTACCATCAGTGAGCCTAGTGAAAAATTCAAAGTAGAGTTGAAATTAGCAATAAACAGCTGTGTCAGCACTGAACATATCATGCCATAATTATGTGTTTGTAACAAGAGGTACATGCATTTGACAAGCCCAAACCTGGTGAAAGAAGCAGTTACTAGCAATGCAAGTTTAATCCTAATCCAACAGTGCAACATGTAGAAGCATTGCCAGTCCTACCTCCACCAACTCACTAGCACTCACATACTACTTTGCATGCCACATGAGTGGCATGACGTGTTCAGGTGCATGCGTTGGATTGATGAACAAAGAATGATTTTCTTTCTCATGTTCAGGCAATGCACAGGTGTGTAGCTGCAGGAGTGTCTCCGCTATTACCAGCCTGAGTATGCTAACCAACAGTAGAATGTAACTGACTTTCTTGTTGTTTTCTCTGCTAAAAGATATCCTTCAGAATGAGCGGGATGAAGCCAAACAAGCAGCGACTGAGGCCAAAGCAGACGTCAAGAAGCTACAGAGCACAGTGCTGAGCCTGCAGCGCCAGCTGCACAACGCAGATGCAGAGAGGCTGCGCACAGCTGGGAGCAATGAGGGTAAGCCTAAGTGTGCTATGAGTTACTAGTGTGATTGTGTCTTGATAATTGTGAAGACGTGGTGCACCTACATAACGATTATTATTCCCCATCGTCCAAATCGTATATCGTGTCGCATGTCCCATTGCAGAAGTTGAGCGAAGCTCATCTTCTGCAATGGGACAGTTGCAACACTTATGTGAGCCGCGCAGTGGATTGGATTTGAGGATCTCCAGGTTGTGTGGCCGTCGCATCGTGCGTCGCCCAGCAAAAACACTTCTATGAAACCCACTTCAGATTGATGACTAGGATAGAAAGCAAAGCAGTACTTCGAAGGTTTTCATCCCCATTTTATTACTAATTATGGCCTTGTATGTCATTTGGGAATATGCCAGTATTGCTAACGGCAGTTTTGAAATTACTGAATACTGAATTTTGGCACTGTGATTTTCAGGACGATCTTTATCCTCAATATAGAAGTAACCATAGTGTGAATTGTAACGGATGCTAAATGAGCTGGATAATGAATTAAGCTCTCGCACTTTACAATTCTATTCATCTGCTGGCAGTGATTGGCATAATATGAGTGAACCTCAAGGGCTCATTCATATGGATAAAAGATGAATCTCCACCGCCAGTGTAGAATGTGTGAGGTGGTTGGACTATATGGTACATAAAGCCATGGTTGTTGTCGATCTCATGTCGGTTATTGTCCCTCATGCTGTGTCGTCGTTTCCAGTGTGCCATCGACGTCTTACGAGGATTCGCACCACTCTCGGACTATTGAACAGGAATGATGATAACATTAGCAGCACTAATGACAATAGCTAAGGTGCGGCGACGATCAGCATGATAACTGCACTGCGGTGTCCACGGTGTATTTATCTAATGTGTTGCACTAACGGCATGGCTACACTGCACTGCCTGAAGTGCCCAGGGTGAGCACGTCTAATGTGCCGACTAATCTGTAATATTGACACTCAAATTCTGAGCACCTCAATGGTGAAGTAATGTTAGAACGAGCATGCCATACTACTAATATTGACTTTTTGTATCACTCTATTTGCATGCGGCGCCATTTAACTGACAATTGCAGACTTACATCATTGATGATTTCTATTGATACGCATCATTTGTATGGCCAAGGCAGAACTACATGCGTGACATTATTGCTCATTCTAACATGTCAGCCGCAATTTGGAGCAGCCTACGTGTAATACAAATAGTTTTATTGTGGACTTGCTGTCAGCCTAGATTTAGCAGATATATAACATCTAACTTGTGTAGCAGTGCCGGAGTTCATAATGTTGATTACATGTATTCTTTACCTGAACAGTTGCATACATCATAAAAACGGGTGCCCACTCACGCTCACGGGAAACCGCACTGCGCCACCTTTCATTGAAATACAGTGGTCAAGGCATGGAGCACCACGCCTGAACTGAAGTAGGCAAACTACCTGTCGACGGTCTGAGTTGCTTGGTATTGTTTGCTGTGATGAATTTGAAAAAGCACCCACTGCATGGAGGCCGTCAGGGGACGTAGCTCGCACATTTGTGGTGTGGTGACCAGGGAGTACTAAACAGGTTTTTGTACTCCCTGGTGGTGACCATATGCCAGAAACAATCTGTGGTGTGGTGACTACTGGCTGTCTCATAGTCCCTACTTGCCTATTTTTCCTATGTAGTAGATCTACCCATGATGGCTATTTGTTGTTATGGTGACTGGTCTGGACTACGCTGACTATACACAAGCTACGCTCCTGGTGGAATACAGCACTGCACTGTTGGTTGTGTCTGCATCCACGTACATTCTTTAGCAGGTTTGTTACATCATCATGACTGTTTTGACAGGCATATTGTGCCTCCCACGTGATATCACGTGACTGACCTCCACAGATGAGGAGCGGACGGGGGAGGGGATGGATGTTGCATGTCACACAAACACTTGTGCCTTCAAACTGTCGTAAAGCGTCTTGCATGGTGCTAAATATGCCACAGATTACTGCAAACACATAATTTTCAGAAGTATGTCCTTTTCAGCATCCCTGGACCCCTTCATTCTGTCTTTTTTCGGTGGAAACCAATTTCCCGTGTCTTTTTTTGGCATCTACGATATAAACGAAGCACCGAAGTGGATTGGAACCTACTTGGACAAAATAAAGTCCAAGAAACATTACTATAATGCTCTTGTACTTCAGTATAAAAAACTACATGTCGAAGTGTTGGAGGCTTATTGTACATTATGTACCGGTATGTACAACAGGTCACCATCATGTTCCGTTGCACTGAATACTATACAAGGTACAGTACTCCGTAGACGGTGCAATGTTGTACAGTCTACGGTATTTTGTTTTTGAAAACTATAAAGACAGTCACGCACTGAAAGCAGGCCGAAGTGCTCAATACCGAAGGCAGACACCACTGACACAGAGGTCACTGCAATGAGAGTTGAGACAAAATCACAACTCGGAGTTTCATGCAGGATTGGCAATCATCAGGTGACGGAAATGACACAGAAAATATCTGGACTATTCTATTTGCATAGTAAAGTGCTCCAGTATAGCGCGAGGCATGAGAGTGGTGCTGTCTACATTGCATACATGATCTGTAGCAGGAAGTCATAAATACCAGTCGTATAAATTCGCATCCGTTTGTACCAGACTACATGTAGGGTGATACAAGCCTGATGTAAGCAGAAGAAACATGTACTTGTAATTGCGGTGAAAGACTGTTTTCGTAGGTTCACAGCATGTTTGTCTCACTGCACAGTTCAAGCGTTCGTATAAATGTCATTGATATTTTCTGACTCCCTGGTCTGTACAATCAACACAGCAATGGCAGAACTACATGTGCTAGACAGAATAACACAGGTCTACACGTACATACATATACATCTGCACTCGTAGTGTGAGACTCTACGCCTTGGTCAATCATCATGGGCATACCCAATAGATGCAGCAGCTTATTCACCCATGAGAATAGCTATGCGCCTGTGTAGAAGGCTGTAGCCGCACTGCACACGTCCCCAGTTGTTGAGAGAACAAGAGGAGTGAAACCCGACAACATCTCCACCTCCCGCACTCATTTCTCATAGTAGTGTCGCTTCTCGGTTCATGTTCTTTTTTAAACTGATCAGATGTAGACCGATTCAAACTGCCTGCTCCACACCCCGCTTGCCACAATTAAATGTCAAGCCGTACCCATTGTCAATGTGTTGGGCACTGGTCAGTGCGCTGTGGCTATGTGCTCCACGGGGCAGCAAGTTAGCCACCTGGAAGCTCCAGGCTGTGAGGCTAATCGACCAGAATAGGGTGATACATGTAGCTCTGTATACTGCAGCAAAGCAATCCAACACTGTGGCTTGCTTTTAGTAGTGTGTCTCACTCTGTTTGCTGCAGATAGCTCTCGTTTGGTAGAACGAATACGGGCGAAATAATCACCACTTCAGGTGGCTGCTTGTGAACCAGAGGTGCAGTAACACATGCAGTCTTTGATGAGATATACTGGCATGAAAGGATCGGTTGGGTTCATTATGCCTAAGCCACCATACCGGCATGGCAAAGAAATAATTGTCTTCTCCATTCAGTGTATTCTGGTACAGACGGTAGCAGCTCACGGTTACTTGTTTCCTCCATTGGCTTCAAAGCTGCTACAGCATCCTCAACCGTCCGGCAAAGAAATGTCCTGGATGATTTACTGCCTTCATTCAGTAAAGCATGGTAGGCTGCCTGCGGCTCTATCGGACTCAGCGAACTCACACAGCTTGTTCAGTGGATGACGAATCAGCAAAGTCTGTCAACCACTGCGGCATGGGTATTTCTCCACGAGCTTTGCCGAGGGCTATGCCAAGATCGAGGCCACCATCCATCCTGACCTGAACACTTCACCTGTGTCTGCGAATAATACAGGAGCTTCATCATAATATAATTACTAACATCTGGTTTTACTAGTGAATAGTAGTGATACAGTATTGGTTTTATTAGATTCTAAACGAGCTGATCTTTCATGTGAGCCGTTGGGTTTGACTCCATGACCATGACTCGAATCAGACGACTCAGCTGCAACCTGAACCAGGAACAAGGAACCTGTATCTGTCTTTGCGTTTGGTTAGCTGTGAAACCAACTTTTACTTGCCAAAGCCCAATCAGCAATATCGTTACCAGAGAGTGGTGAACTGAAAAGACGTGAAAGACCCTTGGTTTCACGACTCTCTGATCAGATAATCTTCGACGAACTATACATAATACACCCATCATCATTGTTCTGTTCTAATTTTTGATCAGTATTCTGATATCAAAGGGTCGAAAGGTCAGGAATGGCGCGCCAAAACACTCCACAAACCGAAACAGTAGCATCTGCACATAATTCAACGACCTTCGTCACATCGCTCAGCCAATCAGTGTCAAGCATGTGATAAAAAGAAGCTAATGCGCATGCTCCCGCTAACGGTCCTGCAAAGCGGTCGTCTTCCTCGTGGTTGTTGTAGATGTTCTTCTTCCTTGAAGAGAGAAGCCGTTGTGGCTCCTTACTCGTTTGGCCCTCGCTTTCCCATGGTTTGGCTGGCGGCAGTATAACAATTTTGTAGCATGGGTTTGGCAGACCAGTTCGCCTATCATCGGCTCTTCTTTCATGACCGGCGCTAGCAAGCAAAGAGACGGATTATTTTTGGGAAAGAAATGGTGAGTGTTTGCTTATCCGAAATGTCCTCAGTAGGAATGGAATGCAAATGGCAAATAACGTCGTTTGTGTAGTTGTGTCTTCCAATAGCTTTCCTTCCAAGGTGGCTTGGTTTGAAAAGCACCTTACCCGTGGTTGAAGTTTTTGATTAGCGCACCTGTGTCCGACATTGCAACAGTTATTAAATTTTTATCATTCTCATGCTTCCCACCATTTTGAGGGTTTACTCCTGATTTGGTCTCAATGTTTTCTATTTTTCCCGATCGTGTGCTCTGCATTCTTTATCTGTTTCAGGTAGAGTCTACATGTAGTACTGCTAGCCGCTAGCGGTTTCTCACCTGGGTCCTTCTCCGACAGCGAAATGGTCCTGGTACGCAGCAGAGAAGACGGGTAAACTGCACAGACCTTCTTACTCAGTGATTTGAAGCCTGGAGTGCAGCAATGACCTAATTGACCTCGACATCATTCAGCCCTTCCACTGGTGTTGCCTTGGCTTTTATTCCATGATTTGGCGGCTCGCTCGGCACGCATGGCTCTCGCGCGGGCTCGGCTCAAGCAAGAAGTAGGAACTAGTATTTTAGTGCTTTGTCGTAAAAAAAACAAATTGGCCGTTGGACTACGCAATCCGCAAGACGAAGCATCGTGGTCGTCTTCGTGCCGTGCCGTTTCAGTAAGTCTGGAGTTTCCTGTGGTTCTTATGTGAAATGCTTGCGAGGGGAAAGATATTTTTAATGTTTTGTGTTTCCTACTGGTCGCCTTGCATCACGGTATGTAGGAGGTTGTTCCCAGCTAATAATTATAAAGTGACAGTGACATAGTAACGCATTCTCCTTTTTATTTTTTTATTTTATTGGGAACACAGCCCTACAACTCTTTACCAATATACTTCTCCTTATTGTTTGTCCAGTGCTATTTCGGAAGAAGGCTACTGTTGGGCAATAACCGCACTCAGAAAGGCATTCTATCAATAATAATTTGTGATGCTGCCAATCACTATCATGACTTTGTGTAAGTCATTCGTGTTACTCATGGTCTTGAAGTTGATGCTTGCTGTAGCTATGTCGGAGTTTTAGCCCTGCTCACCCTCACAGACCATTTGATGTGGTTGGTACTAAACACGAGTCTTGTCCCTAAACAGAAATTCCCACGCGGATTCGAACCATTGAATTATGACTCAGCAGTGGCCGTGGTAGACTTGTCGTCACGAGTGTGTTTACCCCCGTTATGATTTTATGCTTTTGTTACTTGTTTTATGCTTTTCTTTTCTTCCGTTCTTTCTGCGTGCGTGTGAACACATTTCTACCCTGCCACTGCTGGTCCTGTTGATCGATTGATTGCGTTGCGACTTCGCGAGGCTGGTTATGCTCTACTTTTATAGCTGCTATGCCATTTCCGGTGAAAACACCCACTAACGACCACATCATTCGGAGTTCTGGTGCAATGTCCGAAAACCGGATGGTGTTTATAAAGTTGTTGTTCCTAGCTTGGAAGGTGTCCTCTCCTCCCCTGACCTTGCGATGCATGTTGAAAAGGGTCTGCAAACAAGACTAATGCAGGCCACAATAATTGGTCACACTGCACAATGAAGTGTGTCATGTTGCACAGTGTCATGCATGGCATTTTGTGATACATGCCCATGGCATCGCTGTGCGGGAGGTCGGGTAAATGGAAACATGTAGATGATGCGTGTATGCCTGTAGGG